GGAGGCATCTTATCTTCTCAGTTGAAGTTTCATCTTCCCAGACGACCCTAGCCTGTCAAGTAGACAAAACCACGCAAATATCACACTTACCATTTGCATATTTTTGGAGAAGTGTTTATCTCGTCCATACCTAGTTTTTTTTTTTTTTTTTTTTTTTTGAGACAGGGTTTCTCTGTGAGCTTTGGACCTTGTCCTAGAATCCATGCCAATTTTTTAACTGAGCTGTTTCCTTGTTGAGGTATAGATGCAGTTAGTCTTTTTATTTTTTTTATTTTTTTATTTTTTGGTTTTTTTTTTTTTTTGGTTTTTTCGAGACAGGGTTTCTCTGTGGCTTTGGAGGCTGTCCTGGAACTAGCTCTTGTAGACCAGGCTGGCCTCGAACTCACAGAGATCCACCTGCCTCTGCCTCCTGAGTGCTGGGATTAAAGGCGTGCGCCACCAACGCTCAGCAGTCTTTTTATTTTCTATGTGAGTTAAATATTTTTATTTGAAAAGCTAACATTTCTGAACATGAATGAATTACTGCAAATTAGTTTTTTTATAATATCCTGTTTGACAGATAAACATCTGAGAAGCTGGTTTTATATCCAAAAAAGGTTCTCAGCCCAAACTTATTTGTCAACTAGACACATCAATACCAAGAATCTGTTTCTGTCACATTGGTATTAAAAAGACATACTTTAACCTTTAATCCCAGTATGTTGGAGGCAGAGGCAGGCATTTTTATCTCTGGGAGTTCCAGACCAGTCTTATCTATGTATTAAGTTCCAGGCCATCCTGGGCTACATAGTGAGACATTGTCTCAAAAACAAAACAATACATCTCCCCGTTAAAGGAAGACCCTGTTTCAATCAATGAATAGATGTTTTGCAGAGAACATTTCTCTGTTAATAAAGTATTTTTGGAGCATGCTAAGAATGTGGGAGGAGTTACTATTGTAGAAAAAGGAAGTATGGGATGTATAGAGCGTTTGCTTACAGTCTGTGTTAACCGAAACGAGAGAATTGGGGCTTCTCCAAGAGAAGAGTAGATTCAATTGTGAGCAGCTGGTTCTAACAGGATCGGGGACAGGGAAGGATCTGGAATAGAGTGTGACAACACACGCCACATTAGTGCAGCAGTCACCCTGTGGCTCTACGTTTCAAGGGGAATCTAGGCAGCAGTTTCACAGAGATCTATATTTGTCGGCTAGAAAGGACTTAGAAACTAGTTGCAGCTTGTAGTCACAAGGTTGGAACTTGACCAGTTTCTTGAGCTCTCTGAGCGTTTTCTTCTTTTCCTCCTTATCTCACAGTATGGTTGGAGGATTTCGATGGGTAGTGAGCTGGAAAGTACTGTAAATGATAGCATCAGTTCAAATAATTGGATTCTAGCTGGTTAGTTTAAAAGTGTGGGAAATAAAAATGAAGTAGTCTTTGTTTTTGAGATTTGCTCAAAGCTCGAAAAACAAGTACAGCTTGACTTTCTTTGTGGAGTTTAGGATTGAACCTGTGGCCTTATGCGTGTTAGGTCAGGGCGCTTTTGTATATGTGCCCTTTTTATGTGTGTACTCTGTACACTATGTACACGTGGGTGTGGATGCTCGTGACTGTGTGAGAGACAGCTTGGAGCACTGTTCCTCAGGAGCCGTCCACTTTGTTTTTTAAAGTGTCCTCTCACTGAGAGCTGCGGCTGGTAGACTATACTCGACCAGCTGATCTGCCTGCCATAAGCCCAGGGATCTGCCTGTGGTGGCATCGGCATGCCACCATGTCTGGCTTTTTATGTGGGTGCTGGGGATGGAACTCGGGTCTTTATTCTTGTGGGGAGAGCACTTAAGTCTCTTCCCCAGCCCACAGCCCCCCCTTTTTTTTTTGCCCAAAGGAACTTTTTGCCACCTGTGTAAAATGAGATGAGAAAAGTTTCCGTCTCTAGGAACCCATTTGTCTAGAGTAAGTTAGCAAATTCCTCTAATACCCTTTCTGATTAAAAACAAGTACACTGTAGTTTTATATTAAAGAACAATAAAACCATCAGCTATCCAGGCATGGTTTCACATGTCTGTAATCCCAGCTTGGGAAACTGAAACAGAGGGATCTTGAATTTGAGGTCAGCCTTGACTACATAGCATGACCCTGTGTCTAGGAAGAAAAAAAAAAGTAGGTTGGAGAGATGGTTCAGTGATTAAGAAAGAGCATTTGCAGCTGAGCGGTGGCTGCTCACGCCTTTAATCCAGCACTTGGGAGGCAGAGACAGACAGATCTCTGAGATGGAGGTCAGTCTGGTCTACAAATCGAGTTCCAGGACAGGCTCCAAAGCTACAGAGAAACATTTTCTTGAAACCCCCCCCCCCAAAAAAAAAGAGCTGCTCTTGCAAAGTAGGTAGATTTTGTTCCTAGCATTCACATTGGGTGGCTCCCAACTGCCTCTAATTCCAGCTCCAGGGGATCCATCCTGGCTTCTGTAGGAGCGCATGCACGCGCGCATGCACGCGCGCATGCACACATGCATGCACACGGAGAGAGACGATCCTAAAAATAATAAAGATAAGGTAATGTTTTTAAAGCCCTGTGCCTCTTAGGCCTTGGTTGTGACATACCCTGAAATTGGATATTTGTGTTCTAGGTCACTTGTCTCAAAAGTAAGATCTGATGTTTTGGACAGACAAAATAACTCCTTAAAGCGTGTGTGTATATAGTATTGAGATTGACTTCCCTATGTGGAGCATACTGCATTTAAGTTTATAGATCTGCCCACCTCTGCCTCCTGAGTGCTAGCATAAAAGGTGTGTGCCTCCACACTCAACTTTATTACAATTTTAATTTCATTCTCTGTCTCTCTCTTTTTTTTTTTTTTTTTTTTTTTTTTGGTTTTTCGAGACAGGGTTTCTCTGTGGCTTTGGAGGCTGTCCTGGAACTCGCTTGGTAGTCCAGGCTGGTCTCGAACTCACAGAGATCCGCCTGCCTCTGCCTCCCGAGTGCTGGGATTAAAGGCGTGCGCCACCAACGCCCGGCTTCTGTCTCTCTTTCTATCTCAATGTTTGACTGTCTATACCCCCCTGCCGTGTGTGTGTGTGTGTGTGTGTGTGTGTGCGCGTGCGCGCGCGCGTGCGCGCGGGTGCGCCCGCATGTACACGTGTGTATAAGGTGATGAGGACAACTTTCAGGAGTTGGTTCTTTCCGTCCACCATGTGGATCCCCAGGATCAAATTGAGGTCATTAGGCTTGGCAGCAAATAGTGTCTTTACCCACTGAGCAGTCCCTCTAGTGGACTCAACCTGTGGGTCACAACCCCTTTGGAGATATCCTGCACATGAGGTATTTACATTATATTCATATTATGCTTCATAACAGCAAAATTAAAGTTATGAAGTAGCAATGAAATAATTTTATGGTTCCAACCAGTTAGGAAGATTCAGAACCATTGTTCTAACTCCTTAGTTTTCTTAATGCGTTACATCTTTGTATGTTACATTTTAGTGTATTGTTCACTACTGTGCTTTACAAATGCAAGATGTCCTGTGCTCATGATTTCCCACCTGAAATAACAGAGCATGGGCAATGGGAAAGGGCTAAGACCTTGTATGCATTTGAATGATTATACTTGGCTGGGAGGCAGGATGGTCTCTGTGAGCTTGAGGCCAGCACATCTACAGAGTGGATCCTGGGGTTTTGGTTTTTAAAGATTTTTGTTGAGTACCTATCTAGGAATAGTTACTATATCCTGTAACCCCAGCATTCTGTGGTGGAGACAGGTGGATCCTGGGAGCTCAGTGGCTGGTCATTCTACCTGGACTGGCGAGCTTCAGCTTCCGTGAGAGATGCTACCAGAAAATAAGATGTGGAGCCAAAGACCACACACAAATACATATATAGATGGGAGAAGTCAAACAGTTCTTTTCTCTTCTTGTAGATTAACTGCTGAAGTACTGATCGAGTTCTGCGTTTCTTCAATGAGGAACTACAGGCTGATCTTCTGCCATAATCTCAAACAACCGTAAATGACAGAAGCAAGCTTGCTCAGTGAGGGTAGCTGCTGCAGAAGCCGTTTTTTAAACTTAGGTGTTTAAGTACTCAAAGGTAAGCTTTCTTAGTGGTAATACACTATAAATCTGCAAAGATTTTTAGAATTTGCTGTTCATAGCTATTTAATTTTTTGCTATCAGTGATACATGTAGTTAGCTGCTATTTGATTAACTTTGGGATTTTGTATTAACTGGCACCAAATGCATCAAAGAGTAGATGTTGCTTGTCTAAGACTATGTAAATTTATGGTTATCTTTTCTACCAGTCCTAAAAATTGGTTGGATTGTTTCCTAGTCAAGCTGTGGTTCCCTTAACCTAGCTGATATAGTTGATTCAGTCTAATTTTTTAAACTTTAGAATCTTGGGGTTCACCTTTTATCTGGAATCAGTACTTGAGAAAGTTTTTCTTTCTTTTAACCTTTTGTTTAATGAATGGGTTTTTATTGGGATTAGTTAATTATTGGGACTACTTGTTATTTACTGCTTTAGATAATGGAGACTTGTTTATCTGAGGCATTATCTTCTCTTCCATCACTGGTCTCCATCCTACAAAATTAAGACAACCATTCTTCTGAACTAGCTTGGGGTTCTGGAATTTTTACCTCACTAAAAACTGAAGCTTAGCTGGGCAGTGGTGGCACACGCCTTTAATCCCAGCACTCGGGAGGCAGAGGCAGGCGGATCTCTGTGAGTTTGAGACCAGCCTGGTCTACAAGAGCTAGTTCCAGGACAGCCTCCAAAGCCACAGAGAAACCCTGCCTTGAAACCCTTCTTCCCACCCAAAAAAAGGAAGCTTAGAACTAAACATTTTCCCTTTCTGGGGGAAAAAATGAGTTAGAGTTGCTCATACAGAAATAAATGACTATTCTTATTCTTACCAGGCCTTCGTTTGTAAAGAGATTGATCACTAGGTGTGCTGTGTATGGTCATATCCTAGCAGTTAGGAGGCTGAGGCAGAAGGATTTGGAGTTTAAGGTCAACCTGAAACCATGTCTCAAAAAGGCCCATCGGTTTATAAAAAGTGATCTTTTCCTGATTACTGGGTTTGTGAATTGAGGGTTCATATTGTAGGGTTCAGTGATGATCAGGTTTGGCTTCTACCTAAAATTGCATTATCACTGTGCTTTCAGAGTAGAAAGTCTTCTTGGGGCAGATTTGACTCTTAATTGTCTAGGGATATTAATGTCACTTTCTAAAAGGTTTTGGATGACGTTTTGATACTGTCAGAGCGTTCAGACCAGACTCTGGTAGAGAAGAGCTCCTATAATCACACTGAAGGGTTATTTGCAGACTGTCGTGGGCCTTATAGCTGGACCATATTAAACAGACAGTGCACACCAGGTGTAAAAGCCCTTTTTCCTTAATGTGTTTACTCGTATTGCCACCTGCTAATCATTATAGTCTTTTTTTCTTTTTCTATTTTCTTTTTTGTCTTTCATTTGGCAGAAAAGACAGCTTTGATTTCTGGCTGCAAAAAAGATATGAGGAAGAGCTCCTCCCCTTCCTTGAGTAACTGCAACTCCGATCTTGCTAACAAAATATTTGGGACTCCACTTGATGAGCTGCAGCAGGGAGGACACCCAGACAGTGCGGTTCCGTTCCTAGTCCGCCACGTTGTGGACTATATTGAGGAACATGGTATACATTTCCTTACTTTGAGGGCTAGCTTTGTTGTAATAAACACAACTACCCCTTTTTGATTTTAGATTTAATTTTTTCTTAGTATGGATAGTGCAAAGCATGAAGAACAATATAAACTCTAAGGCTTTAGTATATTTTTCTTGAATTGATTTACCTAGAAATGGCAGTTGCCCAGGTGAGAACGTTTTTAGTGGGGGTAACAGGAACTTTTTAAATGGATATAAAGGGTGGGATGAGATAGACTATCCTTCAGAGATAGTGTGTTGCTAGATGACCAGCTTGGTTTTTATGCAAATCTGGGGAGCCAGGAAAGCCTTTCTGAAAGCATGAGGATGTTAAGTTGAGAATGGATGCATGTGGCCAGTCAGTTGAAGGTGCAGCTGAATTCTACCCTGAACTAACATAGGAGGTCTGGAGCAACAAGGGCTGTTTCAAGTCAATGGGAACGCTGAGACCGTGGAGTGGCTTCGGCAGAGGTACGACAGTGGAGAAGAGGTGGATTTGGTCAAGGAAGCGGACGTCCCCTCAGCCATCAGTCTCCTCAGGTTTTTCCTGCAGGAGCTCCCTGAGCCCGTCATACCTGGCAGCCTGCATATTCACTTGATGCAGCTTTCTCAAGGTAACAGTTGGATTTCATCAGTCACTTATTATTACAGTCCTTTTAGAAATTTTTTTTTAAAGATTTTATTTATTTATTCTGAATACAACATCCTGTCTCTATGTATGTCTGCACACCAGCAGAGGGCGCCAGATCTCATTATGGATGGTTGTGAGCCACCATGTGGTTGCTAGGAATTGAACTCAGGACCTCTGGAAGAGCAGTCAGTGCTCTTAACGTCTGAGCCATCTCTCCAGCCCCACCTTTTAGAAATTTGATATGTGGTCAGTTAGTATAGACTTTCAGAGGTGAATTTTTATTTTCTCCACTGCTCTTTGGGTCTGTGTGGTATATAGTTAAGAGAATGATAACTTTGTGGATCTTTGTAGTACTTTAGGTTTTTACGTATGTATTTTTGTGTATGTGTGTGTGTGTGATTGTGTATGATAGTGTATTAGTGGACCATTGTGTGTGGATGTCAGGACAGCTTTGAGTGATGCCCCCTCAGCTTCCCACTTTTATTTACATGGGTTTTGGAGATCCAAACGCTCAAGGTATCAGGCTTGTGTGGCAAGTGTTTTATCCACTGAGCCATCTCTTTAAAAAGCTGTCTTGTGGTGTGTATGGGTGTGCCTGTGTAGGTCAAAGGGCAACTTGGTGGAAGCCTCACTACTTTCCCTCCCCCAATTTTTTTTATAGGATCTTACTGAGCTAAAGACACAAAAAGTATTCTCTTGGGAGGGTGTCTAGATCATTGGGCACCAATTGTTGTCTGTATTTATTATAGACAAAGATGCTCCTATGTGTCATTCAGGTAATGCAGTTGTTAATTGAATACTTGCTACATGCCAGGGCTCTGCTCTGTATTTTGGAGTGACAGCGCTGATCAGAGCTAGGAAAGAATCCGTGCCAGCGCCTGTGCCAGCGCCAGGACATGGGCGTTCTCCTCCCACCACGTGTATCTTGAAGAGTTGAGCTCAGATGGCCAGACTTTGTGGTAAGCGCATTTATGCGCTGAGCTACCCTTCTGGTCTGAGTTGAAGTTTTAAGGTGATATTTAGAGAAATAAATGGTAACTATAAAATAAATGTGTGGATGTGATATATGATGATGAATTGGAGACGTTAGGTATAATGAGTGTGTTAATTGGATCTTGCATGTGGTTGATATAAGTGACTTAAAAGAGATTTATTTTTGGTCATTCATTCATTCATTTTTTTGAGACAGGGTTTCTCTGTGTAGCCCTGGCTGGTGTCGAATTCACAGAGATCCTCCTGCCTCTGCCTCCCGAATGCTGGGTTTAAAGGCGTGCGCCACCAACGCCAGGCACATTTGGCATTTGGCTTCTTAAGTGAGTGTTGGGATCTGAACGTAGGTACTTATGCTTGCAGTAACTTTTACTGACTTAAGTGGTCTCCCTAGACCCTGATAAACATTTTAGACCTTTTCTTTCAGAAATGTTCAATATTATCATGATCATAAATAAACTTTTACCATTTTTTTCTGAGTTAATTTTAAGAACCTGCAGAGAAATTTTTTAAAAAAGTAATAAATTGCTTCATTTTGAAGTATCTCTGAGAAATTCTTCAAAATTAGACCATCATCCATTAATGGCGTTTGTAAAGGCCCAGTTTCTGTTAGTAAGCCTAGCTTCTGTAATCACATTCACTTGGTAAAAAAATGAAACCAGAGCCAGGTATGGTGGTTTTTGCCTGTAATCCCAGCACTGAGGCAGGAGGATTGTCTCTGAGTTTGAGGCTATCCTGGGCCAGTCAGTCTGGGCTACTGAGTGAGACTGTCTCGAAAACATAAAACCAAACAATTTAGAAGAGATTTCCCAGTGAGAAACAGAAAAGAACTTTCACGGTAGTTGGACCTCGTTGCTTAGGGTTAATGGTTCTTTTGTGAACACCAAGAGAAGAAAATCCTCTTGTCACCCTGCTCATTGATCTCCTTAATTGTCGTGGACATTGTCATTGATAATTTGCTTGCTGACGGCTCCTTGGTAGTTCTGTTGACTGGCAGGTCAGTTTGCATTAGTTTGGAAGCCCAAGTGTAGTCATGCAAGAGAAGTTAGGGAATTGAGGCCCGTGAGTAATGGGTGAGGAAAACATGGACAGCAGCTGAGAGGCTGAGCCCTCTCTCTCCACCTCCCCTTTCAGACCCGTCTTTCACTTCACGGTGAAATGCACAGCCCTAAGGCCTTGGCCTCTCCACAGGAAGTGCAGAGGTTTTGAGTTACAGTAAAAAGATGTGGGTGGACTAATGTGGACCTGGCAGAATATCTGAGCTTGCTTCTTACTTCCTTAAGAACCCTGTCATTATGTTTTATAGATTATAATAATGAAGATGAATTTGGAAGAAAGCTGAGGTTCCTCTTGCAGCAGCTCCCACCTGTCAACTACAGTTTGCTAAAGTTTCTGTGTAGGTTTCTAGCCAATGTAGCATCACACCATGAGGAAATTTGGTCTGCTAATTCTTTGGCTGCTGTTTTTGGTCCAGATGTCTTCCAGTAAGTTATTTCACAACTTTGTTTAACTTAAAAAAATTGGATTTGTGAAATGGAATCATTATAATGTCTCCCAAGAATCATAGAATGCTTGGTGAACAATTTTTTTATAGTATATCTGATTAATTCTCACAGCATTACTGTGTTGAGGGTACAAATTAGGTTTTACAGATGGGAAAACCTAGGTATGGGATGATGACATAAATTGCCCAGTTTCATAAAGTGACTCACTGGCTCTTTTCTCATTTGACCTGTAATTAAGGAACTCGGCTCAATTAAGCTTTTGTCCTTAGCGTTTACACAGACGTGGAAGACATGAGGGAGCAAGAGGTTGTGAGCAGGATAATGGCGGGGCTTCTGGAAAATTACTGTGAGTTCTTTGAGAATGAAGAGGAGGATTTTTCATCAAATGATCTGAGTTCAATTACTGAGCAGGTGAGCATACTTAACATTCTATTTCTTATATTTGTAAGAGAATAAATATACTCTTAGTGGCGTGACACAAGAATTTACCTGCTAAACTAGAGGGGTTCTTTGGTTACTTTTTGTAATTAATGGGTTACATATCCATGTAGCATATGATTGGATTCAACACATTTATCCTACTTTCTGATCTCAGTTTAGGTACTAAGCAAATGGTATTTATTATTAATTAATTTGTAGTGCTGGGCATAGGACTTCAGACTTTGTGCATGGTAGGTAAGCATCCTATCATTGAGATTAAACGTTCACCTAGGAAACAGTCAGAGTGCATGGTAGGAATTCTCTTGTACTTCATTCCCTAGCCCCATTATTCACTTAAACATGGTTTATTGCCCTTGACTCCAGGTGACTCCTTTGTCTTGAATGTTAGGAGTCCTGTTATGTCCCACACCTACCTGGATGGTAGATAATTTTAAATCCTGTGATTGTAGTAAGTTATTCAAACCCATTATTTATATATTGAATTTTAGATGGTTTCATTTTTGGTTTTTATTGTTTGTGTGAAAATATGGTATTAATTTAACCCAGATCAGCCTGGAACTCAGTAAGTAGGTAGCCTAAGCTAGTCTAAAATTGTCAGTAGTTCTCTTGTATTGGCTTCCCCAGTGCTGGGATTACTAGTGTGGGCTACCATGCTTGGGCTTTTAAAATCCATTGTTATTGTTATGATTTTTATTTATTTATTTTGAGGGATGTCATATGGCTCAGGTTGGCCTCTAACTTGTTATATGGGTGAGAATGACCTTGAACTTCTGGTGGCATTATAGGCGTTCACAGCCACATTTGGTTTATGAAGTACTGTGTACCTTCTTCCAATTGAGTTATATCCTTAGTGCTTGCATTATACTTGATTTCCTTTACCTTTATGAAATAAGAATATTGAAACTTGAATAATTGTAATTTTTTTTTGGTAAAGCATTATTTAGACTCCTCACGTTTAGAATTTTGAGTTAGATACTAGTTTGAAAATTTTTCTAGTTGGGGGTAATGGCACAAACCTTTAATCTGAACACTTGGGAGGCAGAGGCAGGCAGATCTCTGTGAGTTCCAGGCCAACCTGGTCTACAGAATGAGTTCCAGGACAGCCAGAGCTGTTACGAAGAGAAACCCTGTCTCATAAAGAAAAAAAAAGTTTTTGTGGTGATATATTATTTATGATTTATTATAGCTTGCCTGAGAATTGAGAAAGCAAAGTCAGCCACAAGCCATAGAAGCCAAGTACACACCTTTAGTCCCAGCAGCCAGAAGCTAGGAGGTGGTGGTACACACCTTTAATCCTAGGACTCAGGATTAAGAGGTAGACGGATCTCTGTGAGTCCAAGGCCACCCAGATCTACACAAGATTGACCCAGTCCTAAAGAGAAACAGCTCACACAAAGATGATCTCAGCAGCTGGGATCACACTACTTCAATCCCAGCAAGGCCTCAGTATTGAGCATTAGTTCTCCAGCCCCATGGAGGATAGGAAGACTTTCAGTCTCAGGAGTTTACAGCCACTCTGAAGACACTCAGCAGGATCAGCTGGTTCAGCCTGAGTGTAGTGGTAAGAACTAGTAACCCACTACTTTGCTTTTCTAATCTTCAGCTTGAAGTTTGAACCCCAATATCTAGATCCTTTTATTTTTTGTGTTAATTTTTTTTTCTACAATTCAAGTAGTTTGCCACCAGACTTTTTTTTTTTTTGAGGGTCTTACTGTATTTCTCTGACTGCCCTGGAACTAACTATAGACTGCAGACTGGCCTCCAATACACAGATCTGTGTGTGTCTCAGCTGCTTGGGTCCTGGGATTAAAGGAATGTTCCCCCATACTTGGCTAGCTTATTGAGATAGGGTCTCATGTAGTACACAGTCTGCTCTTGATCTTGCTGTGTATAGTTTGACCTTGGATTACTGATACCCTCCCTTCATCTTGTGAATGCTGGGATTACTGTATGCACCACCACACTTATCTCTAGGTGATTGTTGCTTGAGAATAAATGTCAAGAGGACAGGTTGGTGGCTGTGTCATAAAGTGGGTTTTTTTTTTTTGTTTGTTTGTTTGAGATAGGATCTTATGCAACCCAAGCTGACCTGGAACTCCTTATATAGCCAGGGCTTGCCTTGAGTTTCTGATTCTGTGGCCTCTCCTTTCCAGTGTTGGATTATAAGTGTGTATTCATGCCTGGTTGACATTTAAACTTTAGTGTCTTGGTGGCTATAAAAAGGGAGTTTCGTATGTCATCCTTCTTTAAATTACAGTTTAATCCAATAGCTTTTTTAGAAACAAAAGTAATGGCTGTTCAAAATATAAGAGCAGTATGTGTGTATGTCATTGATTTCTATGTTTCCAAGATGTTTAACTTGTTGGAAATTGATGACAGCTTGACCTAGTATTTATAGACTCCTAAAATTTACAGTGTTTGCTTTGGTTATGCTTTATATTGTTAAATAATTTTGTGGTCTTCTATCCTATAATTTCCTTAATGTGTGATGAACTTTGTCTATATGTCAGCATTTTTATTTTTTTTTCAAGCATAAGAAAAATTGGCGCTTCACATTACATAAGGATGATACTTATATTAAGCAAGACTGAGAGATATGTTGAAGTTTGTCACGTTTACCCATAGATAGAAAAGATATTAGTATATTGAGCAAAGTATCTTCAAGAAGTAGGATAGTGAGGTATTTTTCATGTTGCTAATTACTAAGATCTCTTTTCTTCTTCAAAAAATAATTTTATATTGTATACGTGAGTGTATGCCTATGCAACATGTACATATGCTTGGTGAGCCATCTCTCCAGCCCCCAGGGTTTATTTTCTTACCCATTAAAAATAAATAAACTGTTTTGTTTTGTTTTCCGAGACAGGGTTTCTCTGTAGCTTTGGAGGCTGTCCTGGAACTCGCTCTGTAGACCAGGCTGGACTTTGGACTCACAGAGATCCGCCTGCCTCTGCCTCCCAAGTGCTGGGATTAAAGGCGAGCGCCACCAACCCCTGGCAAAACAAACTTCTTGATTGATTAAAGTGGTTACAAATAGCAGAATTACTTGTGAAGCTTGGGTTTTTTTTTTTTTTTTTTCTCTTTTTTTTGGTTTTGGTTTTGGTTTTCAAGACAGAGTTTCTCTGTATTGTTTTGGAGGCTGTCCTGGAACTTGCTCTGTAGACCAGGCTGGTCTGGAACTCACAGAGATCCGCCTGCCTCTGCCTCCCGAGTGCTGGGATTAAAGGTGCTCGGTGAAGCTTGTTTTTTTTTTTTAAGCAGTTTTGATAAGCTTCAGTTTGGTTTGTTAGTAGAATCGATTAGGTATTTGAGTGAGTGCAAGTAAAATAGTTTCAGATTCAGCATAGTTATGTTTAAGTTGCTTTAACTTAAATACTTAAGTTTCATTTATATTTATATTTAAGGATACCACCTTGTATGGCTGTATGGCAGTGCTGTGCCTTTTTAATTTTGATAATTGAAGGAAACCAAGTTTATTTAGCACTGTTTTGGACTTTCATTCCATTAACTCAAGTACTTAGTTGTTAAACTCTTCTGAAGGCAGTAGTAGGCAGTCTTTCGAAGTGAATGTGTTGAAATGAGGAATAGGGAATGCTTAAGAAATGACTTGACAAAAGTCAAGTGGACTTTGATTGGGTTCTTTAAATGAATGAAAATCCAGTAGAGGGGGTTTGAAGCGATAATTATGTTTCTTTGTGTTTGAGAAGGCAGGTGGTGGCATTCTTCACAGTCTGGAGTCTGGAGAGCTGCCCTAGAGAAGGAAATCTCACAGTCACAGGAAGAGTGGAAGAGTGGGTGAAGGGTTCCGTGAGGGAAGCTAAGGCAGCTGCGCACAGCTCAGTTCACACGAGCTACCAGCTCACACGAGAGCTGTGGGGCAGGAGTGGAGCGAAAGGACATTTCACTCTGTCCTTTGTGACCTCTCTCGATCTGAGTAATAAGTTAGCTATCATTGGAGAAGTTCTATAGATTATGCTAGGAATTGGAATCGAAGAGAAGAAAATCCTACAGGCTGTATTTTTACTTGTGATGAAAATACTGGAGATTGCGGTTATGTAAGGTTTATTGACTTGAATATGATAAATTCGATATGAAGTAGCTATTATCTATAGAAACGGTTTTTAAAAAATAATTTTTAATTTTGTGAGTGAGTGAGTGTGATGTCTGGATGTGTGTGTAGGTTAGAGGACAACATTGTGTGTCTTCACTTTGCCCTTTACCTTAGGAGGCAGGCTCTCTCACTGAATCAGGTGCTCACTGATGGATTCCATTAGCTGGCCAGTGTTCTGGGGGTCTTTCTGACTCCCTATCCCTGCTGCTAGATTTACAGATGGAGGTGACCATGTCTGGCTCTCATGGGCTCTGTAGATCCAGGCTGAGGTGTGAATGCTTAGGAGGCATGCCATTTGAGCGAGTTGAGGCATCCAGATGCACCATCTCCCTAAATTTACTCGTAAAGTTACCTTATTTTAGCATCTATGTGTGTGGGCACACTTGTGCAGAGGCGCACACTCATGTGTACCTGTGTGTGTGTAGGCTAGAGGTTGACATTGGTGTCTCCCTTGAATGCTTCCGTGTGTGTGTGTGTGTGTGTGTGTGTGTGTGTGTGTGTGTGTGTGTGTGTGTGTGTGTGTGTGTGTGTGTGGTAGAGTCTCGCTTGTCCCAGCACTCACTGACTTGGGCTAGTCCAGCAGCTGCTTGTCTAGCATACCCAAGGCTATGGGTTCAACCTATGGTATCTCAAAAATTTTTTTCTAAATATGTATGACAGATTCCATTAAATTCATTATGTTTACAAATGCAATGCCTCATCTACCAATAAAACAGTGATTAAAAAAAAAAACTTCAGAGGGGGCAGTGAGCTGGATAGACAGCTCATCAAACCTGAGCAGATGTCCTTCAGGTTGTTCCCCAGAACCTATGTGTCTGAAGGAAAAACCAGCTTCCCCAAGTTGTCCTCTGACCCCCACAAGTACCACGACACCCACATCACACAGACACACACACACACACAATGAATAAATGTAAAACTTTTTCGTTTACACAGAATACTTATTCAATCTACATATTTTTGGTTAAAAGGTACTCTTTTATCACGAGTCACTTTTATAAATCATTCTGAAGACTAAGGAGATGGCTCAGGGGGTAAAGTGTTTACCATCCAAGAGTGAGAAGTAAGGTTCAGACCCCCAGAACCAAGTGCAAAGCCAGGGAGGGATGACAGTCTGCCTTTGCCCCGTGCTCGAGACAGACACAGCCAAAAGCAACGCTTTAGTAATCCCCCACTCCCATTTACCCTGAGCTGGCCTCTTAACTTGTTGAATAGGATGACCTTGAACTTTAACAATTCTGCCTCTGCCTCCTATTTACTGAGTTTATAAGTGTGTCCACCAAACTCAGGATTTTTGTGCCCTCTTTTATATACCGATACTAAATTAATTAATATTTATTTAATTAAGATTAAATATTAATATTAAACAACCCATTTAATATGCCTAGAACATGGAGAAAGGAATTGGAAATCTTTGTTAGATTTTTAAGATTTGTTAGAAAATTCTAGATTTATAAAAGTGGTTAGAAAATCAAGCTTTAAAACTTCTTTTGAGACAGATCTCACTGTGTAGTCTTGACCCACTGTAACTTGCAGTGATCCTCCTGGTGTTGCCTCTCTGGTACTGGAATTGCAGGGGTGTATTACCAGGCCCAACAAAAACAAAACATTCGTATTGTTAAGTGAAAGCTTTTTCATAGGTTATAACATTATTCATATTTGTCATGCATCAAAATGCTATTTGATGTAAGCAAAATTAAAGTAAGTTGCATTTGTCTTGTTTATACACTTATTTACTTTTTATTGTTATTTAGTTTTGTAGTTCTGGGGATTGAAAGTGGGGCCTTGTGCATGTTAGGTAAATGTTTTTTCCTGTTGTATAATTTTATTTTGATATAAAAAAAGTTGACACTTTATAGGAGAGATTGGTATTAGGAAATGAAATTTTAAAATGAGTAACTTGCATTTACGATACTTTTTGAGTAGTGTATCTTAAGTAAGTCTTTTAAAAACTTTATTAGATTTAACCCTGAAATTCCTTTTTATGTAGGTTAATGAACTTTCTGAGGAAGAAGAGGAAGATGAAAAGCTGGAACATATAGAAGAGCTTCCAGAAGAAGGCGTAGACAAGTCGGATGGCTTGCCAGAGGGGTTGCAGTTAAGGATGACTGAGAACGTCCTGGAACCAGAGGCTGTTACAGCATCAGCACGGTAAAGGCTTCATGGAGCCAGCTCTAGCTTTTGAGTGATGCAGTCTCACTGTAGACTCAAGCACCAAACACCAAGAGAACTGCTTGGGAGCCTGAGTTGAATGCTGGATACAGCTAGTGTTGGACAGTTGCTTAGCCTTGCATGTTTCTGTAATTCCAGCATTTGGGAGGCAGAGGCAGGAGGATCTCTTCCAGCAGGAGGCCAGGCCATGCAGGTTGTATATAGTAAGACCCTTACTCAGAGAAAAAAAAAAAGACATTGAGTATTAAAAGAAGAACAAGAAGAAAACTAAAAGCCGTTAAGGAGTTTTTCCTTTACCAGAAATATAGCCTTGTGTATATTTTTCTTAAAATTTGTGTTTACATTAGCTAGTTAGTTGGGTTTGGTTAAAGTTTTGAACCTTTGAAATAGAACTTGTAGAGATGGCAGCACTGTGATTGAATTGACTGTCTGCTGCTGTGACAAAGCACCGTGACCAGGCAGCTTTTAAAGGAAACCTTTTAATTGGGCTTATGGTTTGAGAGGCTTGGAGCCCATGATTGTGGAGCAAAGGCACAGCGGCAGGAGCAGCCGAGAGCTCACAACCGGGCCCAAAAGCAGGGAGGGGGCAGAGGGGGGAGAGAGAGCCAGAGCGAGCATGCACACACTGGGGATACACTGGGGCCTTTTGAAGCCTGTCTGCAGTGACACGCCTCTTCCAGCAAAACCACGCCCTCACTGGCCTTATGGTGGCTATTCTCATGCAAATCCACATTGGTTTTCTTACACTACTTTGTTTTTAAGTTATGTGTGAGGGTGTGTTCCCGAGTGCAGTGTCTCTGGGGGACAGAAGGAAGTTTCAGATCTCCTTGAGCTGGAGTTCCAAGGCTTTTGTAAACTGTCTGACTTGGGTGCTGGGGACCAAACTTGGGCTCTCTGGGAAAGCAGCTCCTGCTTGCTCTTATCCTCTGTGCTGAGCCATCTCTTCAGCCTCCTGAGCTGACTTACACTTGCAGCTTCTAGCTTAGGGGTGGGCTGGATGTGAGCACAAGGTAGAACTGTAAGCACTGTGATACTACCGACCGATTGTTTAAAGTTGTTGTGCATGTGTGCTCCATTGTGTCACGCGCGCGTGCGTGTGTGTGTGTGTGTGTGTGTGTGTGTGTGTCCCGTCTCTCTCTCTGATTTATTTCTGTGTGCGTGAGTGTTTTGTTTGAATGTGTCTATGTGTGCCATGTCCCGTGCTTGGTGCCCATGGGAGTCAGAATAAGGCATTGGATTTTCTGGGATTGGAGTTACAGATGGCTGTGGCTGTCATGTCAGTGCTGGGAATGAACCCAGGTCCTCTGGAAAAGCTACCAGTACTTTTAGCCACTGAGGCAACTCTCCAGCCCTAAAAATAAGTCTTAAAAACAAAATTCTCCAGATCACTTCATTGCTCTAACTCCTCACTGTCGTCCTGTCTTATTTATAATAGTAAACAGAATTCTCGAGTGGATGATCGTCTGTGTAACTATGTGCCCCACCTTACTGGCAACTGTCCCACCTCTTTTGAGTCTGTCTCTTGAGTAATATTCTTTTGGTCATTCTCTTCTGGCAATAGCAACATTCCTCAAATGTGCTAAGTCACGTCCTCCCTGGAGCCTTTGCAGTTTCTCTTTAGTTATATGTTCTCCTAGATGTTTGCATAGTTCTTTCTAATCTTCTGTAAATGTTGCTTTTCAGTGATGACCCCATCTTTTTGTTTGTTTGTTTTTGTTTTGTCTATAATGGTTGTAGCTATGTAACGGCTACATTTTGGATCTTTAATGACCCTCTGATCTCTGATGCCTTTGTTAAAGTTGTATTCTCCAGAGTAGTCGCATTGGGAATTGATTAAACCTTTGCGAGGGAAGATCTAGGGGTTTTCTTTAGGTGATTAATGGCCCCTGAAGGGAATTTTGGAATCCCTTTACCTTCTTTTTCTTTTGCTTCTTGGCTGTCAGGCTAATAATAGTCTTCCACTCTGATATACTCTCTTACCACTGGGCAGAAAGCAGCATCACCAGTCACTCATGGGTTAGAGCTTTCAAAACAAGGAGCTGAAATTGTGTCTGTTTAAATTGATTGTCTCGAGTGTTTGGCTACAGTGATAGGAGGTTGCCTAACGTGTGAAGTGTGTTAATTACTATTGTCTCCCAGCACTGGGATACAGAACTGTGCAACACAAGTTTTAGTTATGGTGTGTTGCATGCATGTGTGCATACTGTTTTAGGTTATTCTTTGTTTTGTGTTTTTTTCTTTGAAGAGATCACGCATGGCAACTCTCATAAAGAAAACATTTAATTGGGTGATTCACTTAGAGTTGCGGAGGTTCAGTCCATTATCATCATGAAGGGGAGCTTGGTGGTGTGCAGGTAGACGCAGTGCTGGAGCTGAGTGCTACATCTTGACTCAGAAGCAACACTATCACACAGGAAGCTTGAGATAAGAGACCTCAAAGCCACCCCCACAGTGACACCCTTCTCCAACAAGGCCACACCTCCTAATAGGGCCACTCCCTTTGGGGGCCATTTTCTTCCAAGCCATCACACATACCTTTGTGCAGTTGTGCTCTGCTATAAACCTCTCCCTGAACCTAAAGCTGCTTAGGCTAAACTGTGAGCATCTTAAGAATCTGCCTGCTTCCTCCCTTCTCCCTAGGGTTGGTGTTACAGGTGCGTACCATGCCAGCTCAGGCCCTCAGGTTTGCCATGTCTCACCCAGTGAGTCACCTTCCCAGTCCTGCTTTTATATGGATTCTCAGAGCCCTGAGAGTAATGTGCACCCCAGACTAGAGTTCTGAAGTATTGAATGTTGAATAAATGAAGATTTAAAGGCAAGATGGAGTTGTCTTAAGTGCTGGTCTTTATGATTAAAATTACATGTTGAACTAGTGAGTCAGTGTACCAAGACAGAAGAAATGTAGAATATGTTCTTTAATTTTCCTACATTGGATGAAAGAAGAGCAAGAGTTTCTCTAAGCTGTGTAGTAAATAGAAAGTGCTTAATAAAGTTCTCAGGACTTAGTGGGCTTTGTGTTGTGTAAAGTGAGGGATTGAACTTTTAGCAGTTGATGTCAAGGTTTTTGAACAATTTCTGTAAAGTAGGTGGAAATAATAAACAACATCCCGCTTTTGTGTTTTTTTAAGGTTTTATTTTTTGAGAGAGGAAAAAAAGAGAGTTTGTGTGTGTGTGTGTGTGTGTGTGTGTGTGTGTGTGTGTGTGTGTGTGTGTGTGTGTGTGTGTGTGAGTCACAGGTGGTTGTGAGCCACCTGACATGGTTGGTTCTGGAACCAAATTCAGGTTCTCTGTAAGAGCAGTAAGTGCTGTTAACCACTGAGCCACCTTTATAGCCCAATTCTTTTGTATTTCTGTTTATTAGTAGCCTAGGAAGATGTGTTAGATACCTGTTGGAAATAAACTTCTGATTCACCTGCCTTAGCATCCTCAGTGCTGGGATCATGGGTGTATGAATTTTCTTCAGATCAGTTTTTTTGGACAGAATCATACTGTGTAACCCTGACTGGCCTGAAACTCAAAGCAGCTTGTACTCACAGAGCTGTACCTGTTTGTGCGTCCCAGGTACTGGGCTTAAAGGAGTGTGTACCACATGGCACCAATGAGAGTTTTTTTATCTCCTGAAATCAGTTTTCTTTTAAAATGTGAGTGATGGGCTGGAGTGGTAGCTCAGTTGGTGAAGTATCTGCTACGTAATCGTGGGGCCTTGAGTTCAGATCCCTAGCACCCTGGAAAAACTGAGCAGAGCAGCCTGTGCTTGTAACTAACTGCTGAAGGGTGGGTAGATGCAGACCCTGAAGTTGTCAGTCAGCTAGTTCATGTAATAATCAGTGAGCCGCAAGTCATGGAGCAACAAAGCAAAGCCCCAAGGTGGAGGGCTGCTGAGGTGACTCAGCTAACGGCGCCTGAGTCTCCGATTTCCATCCCTGGGATCTACATAGTGAGAGGAGAAAACCAGCTCGTCATCGTCCTCCGACTTAGGTCTACATGTATGACCTCTACTACATGTCTGGCATGGGACACACATAGTATGAGTGTGTATGTTTATGTCTGTGTAACTTACACAAAATAAATACAGATGAAATAAAAATAGGAAGTTGGAGAGCAATTTGGAAAGACGCTCAGTGTCAGCCTCGGATCCCCACGGCTGCCTAGCTGAGTCGTTATTCTTTACCCCAGCTTCTGTCCTCTTCCACGTGACGTTGTTAGAGTATCTGCGAGTAGCTGAGTTTGTGTGTATTAAAGTCTATGCCATGCACTTTGTTAATCCAGTCTCCACTGGCCTGTTACCTTTACCTGGGTGGAGGAAAGACTTGCTTTACTTCCTGTTACCACAGCCCTACATTTAGAGACCACAGAGAAATGGTTTTCATATATTAGTTTGCACTTTAAGACAGATGTGAAATATGTACCCATATTTTGGAAGTTTCACAGCAATTGATTGTGAAGATTTGTAAACACTTTGGGTATGTATGTATAGGTACACCCTAGGGGGATACTCTGGAACTGGAGTTACAGGTGGTTGTGAATCACCTGACGTGGGTGCTGGGAACTGAACTCAGGTCCTTGTTGAGGGCAGTATGTGCTCTTAACCACTGAGTTACCTCTCCATCCCCTGAATAAGATTAAAAAAGAACTAACGAAAATAACTATTGAATATAAAATGGAAGCTATTTAGACATGAAAACTGGTGGTTGGGACGCTTGTTTTTAACATGCCATGCTATGCAACTGCAGCTGTGCCACAGTGTCTTTGCCAGCCTCGGAAGTGTTGTGACGGTGGCCCTTGTTTGTGCTTTGATGCTCAGGAGAACGTTACTGTCTGGGACCGATGGTGGCTCTGTGCACACGGCCTGCTCCAAGTGCAGTCACCGCTATAGGAAGGGCTGGAAAGCAACGCCCACAGGCAGGGTGTGGGCCAAGTAGGAAGAGAGCCACTGGTGTCAGAGGAGGAGACTGGGAGAACAGGACAGAAACATTTACAAATGAATTCTGTAGCGTTTGATGCTGAAGCCTGTGTCCCTTGTTCAGATAGTGCTCTCATTTTCATCACTGGAGATGAGCTCTGTTCTATCATTGGAAGTATTGTCTAACCAAAAATCTGTTGTGTTAGGACTATGTAGGTTTGAAAATTTGCCATAGAAAGCTACTGTTGTTGTATTAGATAGGTGTTTGTGATGGTGTCCAGTACTAAGTTTGTATTTAAGAAGGATAAACAGTATTTTATGTAGGAGTGTGTGTTTATAAAGGAAATTAAGCACAGTATTTTTGCTTATGAGAATTCTTACAAGGTCTGTTAATAACATTCAAAGAAGAATAAAAATTCATGTAACAGATTTGATAGAACTCAGCAAGGGAAAGTACGGATATGTTTAATGAGGATGCATTTTCTTTAATAAGGAAACGTTTTGTTACCCAGGTTGATGGTATGGCAGGTGCAGGTTCCTCGTACAGAGCCAGCTTCTCTGCCAGCGTCTGTCAGGCAGAGTTCGTGATGACAGTGCCTCTCTCAACAAAGAGGGGCTGCCCCATCTCAGCATCTGGGGAGTTAGGGCAAGCAGATTGCCAGTTTGAGGTCATCTGAACTCCATGGTTGGACCCCATCTCAAGACAGACAAGCCCCTCCCTATAAGTAAAGATTCATAAACTGTTTATTTGTTTTGAAATGTGGAACCATGTAGTCCAGGCTGGCCCCAAACTCTTGTGTGGCCTAGGGTTACCTTGAACTTTTCCATCTCATACCACCACATTCAACATAGGTCATGGTTGCTCTTTGATTGTTTCAAAGGCCTGATCTGATTTTTTAAAATTCTTATTAGGGTTGATGCTGCTGCTGATTCTGCTAATGCCAGTGATGGTAACATAAAGTGTTCAAAACCTATGGCTGGTACTACCACAGATAATGAAGTCATGCAGCAAGATTTTATATTTGAGGATCAAAAAAATAATCAGGTAAGATAATGCTAGAAGCATCCTTCTAATTGTTTCTTTGATAGCAAACGTTATTTATAGTTGGGTAATTTTGCTGACATACTTGTCTCTTTTGTAAATCCCTAAGAATATACATTCTCTGTAGAGTTTAGGAATGGTGAGGTAGAGAGGAAGTGTAAAACACCCTATTTTATTTTTATATTTTTAGTCTTTTGTGTATGTGTGTGAGTGTAAGCTCACACGTGTCATGGTACATGTGTGCAGGTCAGAAGACAGTCTTTGTTGTTTATATTTTTAGTCTTTTGTGTGTGTGTGTGTGTGTGTGTAAGCTCACACGTGTCATGGTGTGTGCGTGTGTGCAGCTCAGGAGACAGTCTGTGTTGTTGCTCTTTGTATTCAGTCTTGTTTGAGACAGGGTGTGGTGTTTGCTGCTACGCACACAGCAGGCTGTTGAGCCCAGCAGTGTGGGAGAGTCAGCCTGTCTGTCCTCCAGCCCATTTTGCTGTGCGCTGGGATTGCAGGTTTGTACTGCTGTGCTTTATGTGGGTTTGTGTGGCATGCACTTGTACCCAGTTAGCCATTTCCCATCCCCAGGGCCTTTTTGTTTTAGATGGGGTCTTATTATATAACCCCGGCTGGCATGGAACTCTACATAGACCCCTCTCTGCCTCCCAAGTACAGGGATTAAAGGTGTGTGCCACCATGTCCAGCATCAAACACATTTTAGGAATATTTCTTGGGAAGGAAGTTTTGATGCTGGTTGAGGTAGTTTGGTGGTATTGTGGTTGGGCTTTGTTAGTTTCAAAGCTTTCTGTATTTAATTCTTTTGAAGAACATAATATAGTAAATTTTTTTTTCTCTTTTCCCTTTACAGTTGTTAGTTGACATAGATTCCTATAACAAAAGACATGTAAATAAAACCTTTTTTATTGTTAACTTCTTATGGGTATGGGTGTTTCGAATGTACCACATGGTGTGCTTCGTAGAGACTCAGAGGCCAAAAGAGGAGGCATTGGAACTCCTGGGAAGGGAGTTAACAATTGTGAGATGCCATGTCGGGGCTAGGGATTGAGCCCAGGCCCTCCTGAGAGAGCAGCCTGTGCTCTTAACTAAATGTCTCTCTAGCCTCTCCCTTCTTTTTTGTTTTTTGGTTTTTGAGACAGGGTTTCTCTGTAGCTTTGGAGGCTGTCCTGGAACTCGCTCTGTAGAACAGGCTGGCCCTGAACTCACAGATCCTCCTGCCTCTACCTCCAGAGTGCTAGGACTAAAGGCATGGACCACCACCACCCTGCCTTGTTTGTTGCTTTCTGAAACAGTTTTAGCGCATGTTACTGATGTCTGAGAGGCCGATGTTGTACGGCATGTTCAGAGTGGTGCATTAAAGATCTGCAACCACAGAAAAATTGTCAACGCTTTTGAAAATGGCTGAACCCTTGGTAGTGCTACATAAGCTTCTGGCATAATTGTTTTTCAAACATAGAAGCTGGGTTTGTATGTCAGCGGTACTGGATTTGCCTGGATTCTGAGAGTTTCTGGATTTGATACCTAGATCTGAAAGGAAAGCAAAGTATACAAGTAGCACCTGATCCATGTTTTAAAAAGACATAGGTGTTTTGTATGTTTGTTTGCTTTTTTTTTTTTCTTCTTCTTCGAGACAGGATTTTTTTGTGTAGCTTTATAAACCAGGCTGGCCTTGAAGTCACATAGATATATACCTGCCTCTGCCTCCTGAGTCCTGGGATTAAAGGCATGCGCCACCACAGCCTGCTCACATTTATTTATGTGTTTATTTAGTCCTTTCACAACAGGTCTCATTGTGTAGCTCTGTCTCACTATCTAAACCAGGTTGGAATTCAGAGAAATCTGTCTGCCTCTCCCTCTTGAGTGCTGGCATTAAATGTGCACCATCATACCTGGCCTTTTTAATACTTTCTTTAGTATGTTACTGTTGTAAATATTACAAAAAGTAGATGCAATAAACAGCTTAGAGTTGTTATACTTACACCCCCCCCCATGTAGTCCCTAAGCCTCTCAAGTATATGCTGTCATGCTTTGGGTATTTTTATTTTTGTATGTAGAAATTGGCCTCAGTTACAAAACAGTCTGTTACATTAGTGCTGGAGTGAAAGCATGAACTAGTACATGTGTGTAACTTTTCTGAAGATAAGGACAAGTAAGGCACTTCTATGTTAGACGGGTCCATCTGACTTACTCCCTGATGACTCTCTGATTGTCCCCCTTGCCCTTGTGATATGATGCACATATCAGCTTATGTGCATCAACTACCAATTCATTCCCACCAGGATAAACCTTTTTTTCTCTGTTTTACTTTATATATATGGGTGTTTGTCTGGTACTCCCAGAAGCCAGAAGAGGGCAGCGAATCTCCTGTAACTAGAGTTAACGATGGTTGTAAGCTGCCCTGTGTGTGCTGGGAATTGAACCCTAGTACTTTGGATAGGGGAAGTTTTTTTTTTTTAAAGATTTATTTGTGTATTATGTATACAGTGTTTGCCTACATGCTTGCAGGCCATTACAGATGGTTGTGAGCCACCATGTGGTTTCTGGGAATTGAACTCAGGACCTCTGGAAGAGGGGCCAGTGCTCTTAACCTCGGAGCTATCTCTCCAGAAAGAACCCTAGTACTTTGGAAGGTCAGCTGGTGCTCTTAACCACTGAGCCATTTCTCCAGCTCCAGGATAAAACATTTTAGACTCCTCATCCCCATGTTGAGGGAAAAAATCTCTTCCTTGCTTTGTAGTTAGGTACATCTGCTTCCTTTATAATAAAATTGCTAGGAGTTTTGTCTGCTTTCTTCTTCACCCTCCTTTCCTGTCTCCCAGGTACTGGGATTAAAGACTTGCACTGCCACTGCCCAACGAGAGCCTCCCATCCTTCCTGAAACCCATTCCTGTAATTCTGGCACTCTTGAAATAGGAGCATCCTCAGTTAGAGACCAGTGTAGGCTAGGTCTTGTCTCAAAGAAAGAAACAAAGGAAATTTTGTTGTTGTTGTTGTTTAATAGCTATAGGACATATGGATATTTTGTTAATCTCTGTATTGTCTCAGTTATTTCAAAGTAAGTAAAACTAATAGATTAAATAAGAGATAGTTTGCTTTTATAGTAGAGGTTTCTAGATTCTCTCTCTACTCCCCTCTCCTCCCTCCCCCTCCCCCTCTTCTCTCTCCTCTTTCCCCCATGTTTTGAGACAGAGTTTCTCTGTCCTGGAACTCACTTTGTAGACCAGGCTGGCCGGGAACTCACTGAGACACTGAGATCCGCCTGCCTCTGCCTCCAGAGTTCTGGGATCAAAGGCGTGTACCACCACCGCCTGGCTTAGATTTCCTTCCTTCCTTCTCCTTTTTTTTTGACACTGATACAGGCTTTTTCTGTGAATTAGTCCTGGCTATCCTGGAACTCACTCTGTAGACCAGGCTGGCCTTGAATTTACAGAGATCCTGCCTCTGCCTCCCAAGTGTTGGGATTAAAGGCATGCACCACCACCACCCATCAGGTTCTAGATTTTCTTGTAATCTTTTTTTGTTTGTTTGTTTGTTTGTTTGCTTGAGACAGGGTCTCACTATGTATATGTATCCCTGGCTGTTCTGGAACTCACTTATGGACCAGGCTGGCCTCAAAGTCACACACAGATCTGCCTTCTTCAGCCTCCTGAGTGCTGGAATAAAGACATATGCCATTATGGCCAGCACATTCTGCTTTTTAAATTCTGTCTTAAAAACGAAGGCGTATGGAGTATTGAGTTTTTTTTCACATGCCTAGTGGTGGGAGAGCCAGCTGGCTTGAGACGCATTGGTGTGAGGCAGGATTGGGGAGGAACAGTGTCTTTATTTTGTGCGGGCACTCCTGTGGATGTGCAGTCAGTCTTCCTGGCCATATAAGGAAGGCCTGGGGGCTTTTCCCCTTCCTGTGGGCTAGCTACAGGAGACATGCCTGGTTGGGGGTGAGGGTGGGGGTCAGAAACTGCAGGGAAACAGGGAAAGTTTATCTTCTGTCATCATTGCTGACTGCTGTGGAATCTGGGCTTCTGAGGCTTGCAGCTTTTTTTTTCTTGTCTTGAATTTGGATTTGCTTTTCTACCTTGCTGAGACCTGCCTGGGAGTCCATTCTTGTCAACAGGGGCCTGTCAGCTCTAAGTCCTAGCTTGTCCTGGTTCCTCAGGCTTTGACCTAATACACAGGCCTGTGACCTAATACCTAGAAACTTTGAGAGTGTGTATCTACCATTCATGATAACATTTGATTTTTTTTGGATCATTGGTTCTCACTGAGTTTTTTTTTTAATCTCAGAAATTTATTCAAATTTTTTTCATTTTATTTTTGTTTTATATATGGGTGCTTTGCCTGTCTGCCTGCACACATATATGATGTGTCTGTAGTGCTCTTGGAGGCACTACAGATGTCAAATACCATGGAACTGGAGTTATAGTTGTGAGCTATCATATGGGTGCTGGTAATCAGACCCCAGCCCTTTCTTTGCAAGAGCAGCAAGAGCTAACCCTGCTCACCACTGAGGCGCCTCTCCAGCCCCTCCCCCCCATTCATGATTTTATATATATTACATTTCAATTGTTTTCTTTAAAAGGAGTGAATTGTGTACAGGGGGTTAAATGCTTTATAGACAAAAAAACTGTACTAGAACCAACTTATTCATCGTCATCTTCATCGTCTTCGTCTTCTTCCTCTTCCTTCCTTTTCTTCTTTTTTCTGCCTTGACCACCCCCTTTTCGCTGCATCGGGTTGTCCTTTAGCTCTGTGAGTAGCAGTGTCCTCTCCGAGCTGCTCCTTCAGCGAGGCAGCCTTCTTTTCATAGGGCTGCTTGTCGTCTGCGGCAGAGCTGTTCCACTCCCCCCAGTTTCCTTGCAACGTCACCAATGGACAAGCCAGGGTGTTCTCCCTTGGTTTTTGGGCGACACTCAGAACAGAACAAGAAGAAAGAGGAAGGAGGCCTCTTGGGTGCACTGGGGTCCCTGAACTTCCTTTTGGTCTCCCCTTTGAGGGGATGTAGGTTTTCATTTCTCTTTCATAACGAGCCTTGTCAGCCTTTGCCATGACTTCAGATTTCCCCTTTTCTTTAGCAGACATGGCCTCCCTCCTTTCTGAGCACTTCTTGGAGAACTCCGAGAAGCTGACAGAAGCATCCGGTGCTTCTTCTTGTGTTCCTCCCGGCAAGTTTGCACAGAGAATGCATATGAGGACATTTTGCCTCTCTGCTTCTTAAGATCACCTTTGCCCATGTTTAGATGATTTTCGCCCACGAGGCACAGAGTCGCCCAGTGCCTGTCGGGCTTGCGCTTGCCCCGGCCCTGTCTCTGTAGAGCTCAATGTGCTGCAGTGGCTGTCCATGATGATGTCAATAGGCTTGTTTTCCCTCCCTCCTCCCTCCTCACTCCTCTTCAAAGCAAGGTCTGGGTATGTTGCCCAGTGCACCTTGAATTTATGTCCAGCTTTAGCCTATTACAGTCCAAAGAGTAGTTGGGACTCCAGGTTCCATCATGTTTGGCTCCATCCATCCATCCATCCATCCATCCATCCATCCATCCATCCATCCATCATCCATCCATCCATCATCCATCCATCCATCATCCATCCATCCATCATCCATCCATCATCCATCCATCATCCATCCATCCATCCATCCATCCATCATCCATCATCCATCATCCATCCATCCATCATCCATCCATCCATCATCCATCCATCCATCCATCCATCCATCATCCATCATCCATCCATCCATCATCCATCCATCCATCCATCCATCCATCCATCCATCCATCCATCCATCCATCCATCCATCCATCCAGGTTTGTGTGAGTGCTGTTTTCATGTTCAAAGAGAAGAACTCTGTTAACTAAGCTGTTTCCCCAGACCCCACTTTATTTTTTTTTTAAACAACTGTTTTCATTAAATGTTTTAATTTGGGAGGTTGCATAGTTTTATGTTTATAAATATAATTAATGTCTGCCTAGAGGATAGTTGGATTCTTATATTTGCTTTTGTATTCAATATGCTGCTGTAGATTGGATTAGAGTAGGAAACAGTTCAGCCTCTTGGACATTCAGTTTTTCCAGACTCTAAAGAGTCTAAAAACTTTAAAGAGTCTTCAGAGGGTTGGCAGGATGGCAGTGGATAAAAGTGCTTGCACACAAGCCTATCAAGTTTACTTCAGTTCACAGAACCCACAGCTGAGGGGAGGGCCAGTTCCTGAAAGTTGTCTTCTGATTGTTAACACATGTGCTATGGCGTGCACACACAGAAACATACTAATATGAATAAAAGAAATCAAGAGTCTAAGAATTGAAGTTTTTGTTGATTTTAAATATTGTCAAGAAGATGAAAATGTTTATACACGTTGTAATATTGAGGGAGTTGTATTAGACTTCGCAGACTTGTTCCTTCATGTAGTTTAGGCTAGTGTGCAGCCCAGAGGAGCTCACGTTTTTAGTCTTCCCGTTTCTGCCTCTTGAGTGTTGGGATTATAGGCATGTGTCAACACACCTGGTTCTCTTGGGTCATTTCTAATTTGTAAACTCATTGAAAGGAGATTGTTCTGTGCTTCTGAGACTCAGGTGGCTCTGTTGTATGGAAAGAAGTTGTTATTTCAAATGTACCCAGCCAGGGCCTTCCTCTGCTGGGGAAGTGCTCCCACTAGCACCGTTAACCTTGGAAGGAGAGAATTCTTTTTTTTTTTTTGGAGACTGGGTTTCTGTATAGCTTTGGAGTCTGTCCTGGAACTCATTCTATAGACCAGGCTAGAACTCAACTCTGTAGATCAGGCTGGCCTCGAACTCATTCACAGAGATCCACCTGCCTCTTTCTCCCAAGTGCTGGGATTAAAGGTGTGTGCCACCACTGCCTGGCAAAGGGGAGGATTCTAAGGAAAGAAGATACTAGTGATTATTGCTTACAAGGAGGCAGAAAAACAAGTACTTAATATGTTTCGGGTTGTGAGGGAGGATAAATAAGCTTTGTGTACAGAAACTTCCTACAGATTGTTACAGCAGTGGAGGAGGGATGGTTGCTAATTAATCTGATGTCTTATCTTGATTGCAACGGTCTCTAATGTGAATGCTGGGAGCTGGTAAATGGTGGTATTCTTTTGTCAGTCTGTAGGTATACTGTTAGAGCCTTGTAGTGACCACGGTGATAGTGAAGATGGCTGTCTTGAGAGGTAAGCCTTCTTTTATTGTTGCTGATAAATCGTTTTGAGAATTGGAACTACAGATTTTTGGTTGAAAATTTTGGGTAAATATATCCATTATAGCACACAGTTTGGGTAATCTTTAAAAGAAAACCAGGCTTCTTATTTTAATGGTAGGTTAGAGTTTATTAATAGCTACAAATATGTAGAGTTTCACACTGCAGACAAACATTAATTATGAACATATTTTCAGAGAGAACACAGCTTTCTTAGAGATATAGAACAATTAGAATTTATTGATACTATACATAGACATGTTAGTGAGTTAACTGATAGTTTGGGAACTGTGGCCAGCCAACCAAAAATTAATAAAATACTTGCTTCAGTGAATAAGGGTGGGATATTTTTCATCCCTGCTACTCATCTTTACTGTGTCCAAGGATAATCTTGCCCATTTGGTGCTTGTTCACCCCATCCCTGTAGGATGTCTGAGATAATGAGATCACCAAATGCAGAGTCTCCACAGATACAGTCCCTTTGAGGAAAAGCTTTTGCAGAGTGTCAGTCAGTGGAGAGAAGGCCTTTCCGGTCACTTGGGTCTTGTTGCCCTTGGCATCATTCTTTCAGCAGCTGCCAAAAAGTGTATTCTGACATTCTTGGCAAAGGTGGTGTGAGGCTCTGATAGAGCCTGCTGGTCAGGTAAAATTCTGTTCATGCTGTTGTATCTTAATTGTGAATAGGAACCTGTTGTTGGAGGGTAAGTAAATTCTTTGGAGCCATGTCTCTGGAGTGTCCTCATACTCTGAAGGTCCACAGATTTCCTGCTTACAGAGCTCCTTGTGCTTCCTTTCAGGAGGCAGGACTGATCCTCTTCCAGCCCAGGGAGTTTTGGAGCTATGGGCTGAAGATATAAGATTAACAGGCATCCCCAGAATGATGACATCGGGATATGGTAGAGCAATAAGTATCCATTTAGTGAGGACCCAGTTTTTTTGGAAAACTTTTTGCTCTAGGTTAGCAAACTTGTTGTAGATCCAGAGTAGTTTGGTTAGGTGGATTGCATTTTGCATGGTTAATACTTAAGTTTTTAAAATTTAAATAATTAGGTCTTTCAGAGTGAGTCTTTGAGAGTGACCCTGACTTATCTGCCATTTGCTCCATCCGACTCTAAATAAAAGAGAGCCTTGAAGTGGTGGAGGTATGCACCTTTAATCCCTGCACTCAGGAGGCAGACACAGATCTCTGAGTTTGAGGCCAGCCTGGTCTACATGACAACCAGGGCTACACAGAGAAACCCTGTCTTCACCCCCACCCCCACCCAAAAAAAGCTTGTCAGAGAATTCATTTCTTCTAAGGAGATAGATTATTGTGTTTAAATCAAGACTTGTCTTCTAAGTGCTCACTGTTGTTATGACCACTTAAAAGTAGCACTTAGATATATGCATTATAAATTGACACAGGTCTCTTTGAGGGCCATTTCTCACTGTGGGCATATCGATACTTACTCTATTAATAACAGATGCTTTGTTGACTGGCCAAAGAGGTAATGATCATTTGTGATAACTTACAATAAAGTTCTTACATAGGGTTCATTGTTCTGGGAAATAGAGGGTGAGTGAAGTTTTACTTTTTTTTATGTTAGGTTTGTGGTGAGGGTTTAAAAGCAGAGGCTTTCTTGGATTACAGTGACCTTCTGTGATAGTGTATAGCCTTAAAGGACAGATCCAAACTTGAAAAATCTTTGCAAGGAGAGAATAAACTTGTTGCTTAAAACTAATATTTATTTATTTTATGGACTCCTTTTCCAATATGCATCAGTTCTCACTGGCTTCTATATTGCAGTTTTTAATTTTCCTTTCATAAAGTGTTTTCTTTTGGGGGTGATTTTATGTGGGGGAGGGAGTGGTGGAGAATATTTAATTTTTCTAACCCTGAAGTGAGTCTGTGGATCTTTTCAGTGTTGTGTGATTTTTCAGATATAGGGCTCCAAAGAATGGGCATATGCCCTGTTGTCTCTTTGCTCACAAATCTTAAATGCTAACTATATTGGGGAAGAGAAGAATGTAGGTAAGAAGTAATAAAAGTAACCTAGAAGTAACCGTTTTAGCCTTCACATGCTAATGGCTATTCTTGTGTTTTTAGGAAGGAATATTTGTTATGTGACAGTGATAAATTGCCACACTTGATTCTGGTAAGAGCTGCCTCTATATTATAGTTCTTAATAATATTGCTTAGATAATGTGTCAATTATTATATCTGGCCTCTGACTCTTGAATTGGATAAGTTGAAAGGACTCATGTTTGTTATAGTTAAGCAGTAATTAATGTGGGTACAAGATTGTGGGTTATGAATGTACTTTCCTAAATTTGAGATCCAAATTTGATTCCCTAGTAAGACAATGTAAATTTACATTTGAATGAGGCAGAGATGACTGCTCTTCCAGAGATCCCGAGTTCAGTTCCCAGCAACCACACGGTGACTCACAGCCATCTGTAGTGAGATCTGGTGCCCTCTTCTGTTGTGCAGGCTTACAAGCTGACAAAGCACTCATGTACATAAAATATATGAAGAAATAAATCTTTCAGAAAAAAACACTGGCTCCTCTTCCAGAGGACCTGGGTTTGATTCCCAGCACCCATGTGGCAGCTCACAACGGACTGTAACTCCAGTCTCAGGGATCTTACGCTGCCTTCTGGTCTCCTTGGGCACTAGGCACACGCATGGTGTGTATAACATAGGTGCAAGCAACACACACACCACACACCACACACCAGAAATGGGACAGGTGGCTTTGTTGGCACAATAAAGTAATGAAAAATACATGGGGATATTTGTGTGCTGATTGTCTCTGAGCCAGTTGTGAAAAGTGTCATGGTTATGAAATGCATTCTTTATTTTAAAATGCAGGATTCTAGTAGCAAGATACGTGATTTGAATGCCAACACTGAATCAGAAGTAACTGACAGTCAGAGTGTTGGTGTTCAAGGAGAAGCAGCATGTATACAAGTTGCACATTTAGACCTGAAGAATGTCTCTGATGGTGATAAATGGGAAGGTAATCTTACCCAACATGTTAATTTCCCAGTGCCTTTATTTGTAACTGAAGAAACCCAAAGCAGTGATAAGACTCCTGCCCTCTTATGGACAATTTTGTCATCCTGCTCTGTTCTCTCTTGAAAACAAAGGACGCTTGTTTTTGGTTTTGTTTTGTCTCAAGTCTAATAAGGGCAGCTTTTTCAAGAGTAGAACGTAACTATATGATTAGCTTTGAGAATGGATACTGGGCACTGTGCATGATGTCCATGTCTGCAATCCCAATATCTGGGAGACGAGGATGGCTGCCGTGAGTTTTAAGATGGCTGCTGTGTTGTGAGACCATCTCAGCTCCCCTCCCTCCCCAAGGCACTGCCCTCAAAGAAAAATAAAACTTATTAAAATGAAAATTACCCTAGAGTAGACTTGCTTAATTATTAAATTGGTCTTTGAAAGTTCAGTGCTTATTAGAGTTTGATGATTTTACCAGTTTAAATAGGGTATTTACCTTTTTTTAACAAGTATCAGTAATAGGTTTTTATTTTTTAATTCTTCAAGGGTACTTCTAAGCAAAGATTGTACTGTAGATTACAAAAGTATTTGGGGGAGACCCTGAAATTTGCCCAAAGGAATGAAGTTTAAATTTAATGAGCAACATGGACATACCATTGTTTTTTTTAATTTAGCAAATGTATACTGAATTTCAGTATAAATGTATACTGAATTAAGAAAAGCCATAAATTGTAAACAAATATTGGACTTAAGTGAATTATTTACACACTTAAGTTTCCTCGTGGGCGAAGTCCCAGGGTCTACAGTTTAATTAGAGGTCTATGAAGACTCTAGGGACGATGACCAGCGTAAAGCAAGCGCAGTGGTGGGGGCGCTCCTGCATCTACCCTTGCTCAGCTTCATCAGCTTCACGTAGAGGCAGGCGGGGACCAGCAACCAGTCTGAACCAGTCTGAACCAGTCTGAACCATCCTAGTACAGAGAAACTGAGACCGGTCAGGAGTCCTAAGCCAGTTTTTGTTCATGTGGCTAAAGACACGTGGGATTGTCTCTTGGCAAGTCATTTGATGATATACAGTGGCAATAACCAAAGGAATTGCAGTGTCAATACTCTGAGTTCTTTTTGCCCCCCCCCCCCCACACCATAGTTTCAATATAGGCTTTTGTTGTTCTTAGTTTTAAATCTCAAGTTCAGTCATTTTTGAAAAGATCCTACCAAATCCTTGTCAGTGCCAGTTATTAGTGTGATGTTCCCACCCACCTGTTCTAGATCTTTGATTGTGAGCCTTAACTTAGACTAAATTGGGAAGTTGGTTTGTGTTGGACTTAATTCGGGAATTTTTAGAATTAATGAAGAAGCTCCTTTGAGTTAGGAGATGTTAGCGTGCTGGTGGCAGTGAAGATGACATGTTCATTCCTGGAAGGAACAGTGGCTACAACCCCTGGAACCTCAGTAGGAAAGGCGTCTCTGAGCATTGGGGTAGGATACTAATGAAGCCTTTGTCTCTTCTGGTTGGCTATGCAAATAAACAGCCACTTCTGGTCTCTGACCCTGTGTTAAACATGGCAGAGTGAGCGTTTTCCCATTGTTTGGAGAGACGGATGTATCTAGCTCCAGCCTCCTGGAGGTTCTCAAAGAGAACCTGATGCTGGTTTCCCCCTCTGACAGAATCCCCTATAGCTTTTCAGATGAAAGGAGAAGCCCTCTTTTTTCACTGCCGCGTCGGCTTCATTATCCACCTGACTCATCAGTCATGACAAGTCCATATAGGTCTCTTTCCAGAAGGAGTGGGTGACCTTCAGAAACTTCAATGCTAGTGGATAGATGAGTGACCTTCCTAACCTTGGGAGAGAATGGTTGTCATTAGTCAGGTGGTTCTAACAGTTGTGAATATCGACTTTCTGCAATTAGGTGTTGGAATATTAAAAAAATCTTTAGATAACAAATTTCCTTAGACTTTGTGTGCTTTGAAATCTATAGACATACTTTGTGACTTAGAGAAAAGGGACAACTCCACAAATGTGGCCCACCCCAGTGTTCCTCAGTTAAGTGGGGTTTTAGCTTTTTCTCAAAGGGTAGTTAGCAGAACAGTCAGCAAGCAGGTTACATATGTCTACTGCAACCTGTGTGAATTTGTGGTCGTCGTTCAAAAAGTGTTAATGGAGGTGGACATCATGTTTCCTTCAGTAGTTCTTTTGCTGACTGTGGGATGGACTACAGTAGTGGTCTTTTATGAAACACGGACAAAGGAAGATGTTTGTTTCTTTTCTCTTTTGGGTCCTGGGGACTGAGCCTGAGCCTTGAAGGTGACAAGAAAGCACTCCATCCTGTATCAGTACCCTCAGCCTTTGAAGGGAGTTGCTTTCTGTCAGTCTTACTAAAAGGCTCCACAGTGCACCTGGCTAAGATAGTTCGGGTCTTCCTCCTTTGTCTGAGATTTAATAACAGTCACCTTTGGGTTTGCCTCACTTGCTGAAATAGAAGTGTATGCTTGCTAAAGTTTGGTTAGTAGTCATTTCTTTGAACAATGTTTTTGAGCAGAGTGCCTAACTCGTCTTAGGGAAATACTTTTGGTATCCTTGGCTTTGTGTTATGTGTATGGTTTGTTCTGCCTGTGCTGTGTGTTCACTTTGGTATTTTTTGCCATTTTTTCCATTTTATTAGCATCATGCCTTATCACTTTCCCCCTCATTGATTTCAAAACAATGCATCTGCAGAGAGATGGGGAGGGTAAGTATGGTTCACCATAGTTTAGTTGTTTTTTTTTTTCTTTCCCTTTTTGTGGTTCATTTTGTCTTGTCTTTTCATTAGCCTTTCTCTTGCTGTCCCAAAATCTTAGTGTTAAAAACTTTAAAAAAAGTTTCTGTTAATTTTTTTTCTTAAAATGTGACAATTTCTCATAAAATATTCATTATTAATGTATTTTCTGGGACACAGGCACAAGGGTTCCTTTGAAGTCACTGTATTTACTGAGTTTATTGTAGGATTACATACTTGTTATCCAACTTTTAGTCACCAAATTGATCTAGGCTTCAAAAGCAAGCTAAATTATTTTCTAAAAACAGCTAAAAGATAATGCTTTAAATGGCTCTACGTAATATTAAGCTAAATTGCTGAAGTAGTTACCTTGGTTATTGTCTAAAACAACAATCTTTAAATTTTGATACTTCAATCCATTGTTCTGTTAGGTTTTGCTTTTACAACAACTGTATCATCAAGATTTAAAATTTTAGTTTTAAGTCTAATGTATAGCTAGCAAGCACTTCCTCTCCCATACTCTGGTGATGCTTAAAGTTGATATTGTATTTGGCATACAATATTATGTATGTGTGAAAAGAGAGACATAAATTATATTAACATGCCTTCAGTGGAGAGTATACAGAATCTCTGTAATACAATCATTGTGCTTAAGGAGAACCAGTGCTAGTTTTTTTTTTTTTTTCACTTAAATACTGTTGTGGGGATTAAAGTGTATGTGTGTGTATGTGTGTATATTATTCATAGGAACCCCGTAACAGAAAATAACTATCACTATTTTAATGTTAACTAACATTATTTAGCATTGTGAATAGAATAAGTTGGCTCCTCACTCCAAATATTCGAATTCTTACAGCTTTAGCTCCATTTCTTAGTTCTGTGTAGTGAGGAAAATTTTCCTGTTTCAAATAGCCAGTCACTGTCTGATAGAGAGTGAGTTCATACACCTGGTGAGAGTGTTTCTTAGTAAAGACTTGCATTTGATCAAAGTGTTTTTATGTGTAACATCTTTAGAATATTGTTACATAACATCTTTAGAATTAAATTTAAGAAACTTTGTGTCTTTGTTGGTTTGCTGTTGGGTTTGGGCATTTAAGGTGAATCTATTAAAGAGAGGAAATGAAGAATGAAGCTTGAATAGTTTTACACTCCAGCAGGCATTATGACTATGCGAGTATCTCTTACTTTGATGTTTTCATATACATACATACGTATATATCTATGTATGTATGTATTTAATATGTGTATAAAATGAATCCACTATATAATGCTGTAGACTCGGCACCCATGATCCTGCTCTTGTGTTTGTTTCACAGAGCCGTTTCCTGCATTTAAGTCTTGGCAAGAGGACTCTGAGTCTGGAGAAGCCCAGCTGTCTCCACAGGCTGCAAGGATGACTCACCACCCCCTGGGAGAGGACTGCCCTCCAGTACTATCACATCGTAGTTTAGATTTTGGACAGAGCCAGCGCTTCCTACATGACCCAGAAGCGTTGGACTTCTCGTCAAAGGCACTTTCCTTCACGAGGTCTGTGAGGTCATGCACTTGAGAGGCACCTGTCATTCTGTGCACAAACCCTTCCAGGCCTGTGCTTTAAAACTGCTGTTCACATTCCTGAAGCATGTTTTGTAATTCCCTTACTGTTGCATTTTGAATCTATTGAGTGGTATGTAGTACTTGGGGTTTACTGTGAGACTGTGAGCATTTCTTCGTAGTTTAGTCCTCATTCATTTATTCGTTGATAATTAGAATGCAGAACTCAGAAAGGGGGAAGCTGACTAGTTCTGTGTCCTAATTGAAACTTAGTTTCAGTTGGGCTCCTCTGCTGTCTTGGAAGCAGGAGGGGGATAGTGGTCTTGACATCCCCTTGCAGCATCCTAGACTGCACATTCTTCCCAGAAGGAGCTGACATGCCACTGAGTGTGTCAGAGTGCCTGCCGCCAAGTCAGTCTCTGACCTCCAGAGAGAGAGAGGGAGAGGGAGAGAGAGGGAGAGAGAGAGAGAGAGAGAGACAGAGAGAGAGAGACAGAGACAGAGACAGAGACAGAGAGAGAGGAGAGAGAGAGAGAGAGAGATTACAAAAAGAAAACAGTGAAGTTTCAAAAATGTCCAAGCTGGCAGAGGCACAGGGAAAATTCATTCAAAGAAAGAATATTTTTTTCTGCTGAAGAATCTCAGGCCTTCGTTCATTTGGTTCAGCAGTTCCAAGATAGCCATGTCTGTCTTCCAGATTGAAGCTGTAATGCTTTTTTAGCTTATGGAGTTGGAAACGGGGTCAAGAAGCCAGTTTGCTAAGAACGTCAAACACCACCTCATGAAATAATAGAAGAAAGAGCCAACAGGCTTTCTGTACACTATCTTGCTAGCAGGTGTCCTTGAGACTGCAGCTTATCACTCATGTTTAACAAATTAATTTTGCTGTTGAAAATGGAAGCTCTGATTACTTTTTTAAAATTTAAATTAGCAACAAGGTTGCTTCACCTATCAATCCCAGTTCCCTTTCCCTCCCCCGCCCCCTTCAGCCTCCAACCCAATCCCCACTCCATTCCCCAGGGAGGGTCAGACCCTCTGTGGGGATCTCCAGAGTCTTGTCATTTCGTTCAGGGCAGGGCCTAGTCCCTCCCCCAAGAGTCCAGGCTGAGAGAGCATTCCTCATTGTGGGATGGGCAACCAAAGTCCATTCGTGTGCCAGGGATAAATACTGGTCAACTACCCAAGGCCCCGTAGATTGCCCAGGCCTCCTCGCAGGAGCTCTGATCACTTTTATTCAGCTAAGTTTAAAATGTATTATCATTATGTGTGTGATGTTGTGTTGGGCATGGGGCTCTGTGCCTAGTGGGCGTGTTAGAGCGAGGACAACTGTGTGGTCAGTTTTCTCTCCTTCCACCTTTATATGGGTGCCAGGTGACAGACTCAGATCATTAGTCTTGTTGCTCAGCAAACTCGTGTATCTTTTGATCGTGTTGCCATTCTAGGCAACTTTGCTGATGGTCAGAGAAGGTAGACACTTGATGGTGCACATGAAGATACAGACACTCAGAGGACTATTGTCTCTTCCAAAGAGTGCCTCCAAATCAGAGTGGCTGCTGCAACCTCATAGGTCTGAGATTTTATACTCCTTTCTCCCAGCTAGACTTGACAGGGAGAGGGGAACATTGCATAGTTGACAACACAAGCAACGTTCTCCGAGGGCAAGGGGGCTTCCTCAGGGTGGGAACAAGTTGTCTGTCGACTTTGCACCTCTTGTGTGTCTCTCATGAGTAGAAAGGCTCATTCCACGCCCTCCTGAGACCTGGGTCTGCCTGCCTCTGTTCTGAGGTGGCAGCTCCGCCTGCTGGCTGGTGTGGACACAACCATGCAACAGCCCTTATAGACCCAGCACCTCGGCAAGACACTTTAGGCTAACTTCCTAAAAATAAAATTCAAGTTTTATGAGAGCTTGAAGATATTTGCACAGTTAAAATGACTGCAAACAAGTACTGTGGTTAATAAAAACAGCTTGCTTTTCATAAATTATAAAATTCTAATCTGTTTGTTTCTTTAGAGACAAGATTCTGTGTAGCCCAAGTACCCCAGAGCACTGACGTTACAGGGATGCACACTACCTGCTATGTATGACGTTGAGGATCAAACATGAGACTCCCTATATATGTGCACTATGCCGACTGAGCTAAAGCCTAAGGCCCAAGATTCCAATTTACATGTACTTTGTTATTAGAAAACGTCTTGTTTAATAACATGAAAAGAGCGTTATCATTTAAAAACCAGCATTGAGGTGGGAGTGACTAGAGAGATGGATCAGGGCTTAAGGGCACCCGTGTGCGTCTGTGGAGAGTGTGAGCACCTCTTCCTTCCCACTAATATTGCCAGCTGTAATTGTTGGGGTTGGGACGAGCAGTACTGGCTGCTCTTGCAGAGGAGCCAGGCCCTGTTCCCGACATCCACATGGCAGCTCACAACCATCCGTAACTCCAGTTACTGGGGATCTGATGCTGTTTTCTGGCTTCCAAGGACACTGGGCACACAGTGATGTACAGACAAAACTGTTACATATAACAGTAACAGCATCAACAGCAGTAAAGGAATACAAACCTGTAACACACTACACTGCCTTCTGGCAGGCTGGGTTAAGTTGCCTAAAATGATAATCAGGGAATCAATAAAAAACTTGGTCATTTAAATACATTTTATATTGCTCCCCCATTTTAATTATGTGTGTATATGGCTTTCTGTGTGTGGGTATGTGCATGTGAGTGCAGTGCCTGCAGAGGCCAGAGGTGCCAGATCCCTGAGATTGAAGTTACAGATGGTTGTAAGTGTGGTGCTGGGAACTGAACCTGGGACCTCTTGGAAGAGTAACCTGTGCTCCTAACTGCTGGTTCATCTCTCCAGCCCGAGACTCTTTTTGTTACCATGATTATCATCATCATTATTGTATTACATGCCATGCCACAGTGCTGGTATGGAGATTGGAGGGAAAACCGCTGAGCCTTGGCACTGACTCTCCTTCCCTTGTTTATTACTACATACCAGTCCTAGTCCTCCCACCCCCATGCACTCCTCAGAGAGGGCGAGGCGTCCCATCCCCCTTCACTTTAAAGGTGTCCTTACTAGTGATAGTGACACATCAGGACAATATTAGTAATGCCGTGCTGACATTTGAAAAGTTAACACACCCTATTGGCCTGTTGTTTAATTCAGAATTCGAAGGTCATCCTTTAGTTCAAAAGATGAAAAAAGAGAAGACAGAACACCTTATCAGCTGGTCAAGAAGCTTCAGAAAAAAATCAGACAATTTGAGGAGCAATTTGAAAGGGAAAGAAATAGCAAGGTAAGTTTGTAGCGATGCGTAGAACAAGCTTGCTTGAATTCACTTTGTAGTGATGGTCAGAACAAGCTTGAATTGAGTTAGAGCTGAGAGAGGAGGGTCTTGACAGTGCTCCATCCAGCTCTCCTTGAGAACACACCCGAGATGCTAGTAGTAGTCATAGACAACTGAGAGCCTCTGGACCCTTCGCCCTTGATCTGTGACAGTCTGGACATTGTACCAGTGTGCTTTTGTGTTTTCACGTGTAAACATTTTTCTGAAGTTTTAAGCTAAGTTCTCTACACTAACAGATCAAAGTTCTGCTCTGACATAAACTACAAGTAACAAAGGGGTGGAAGGAAATGAAGAAAGCGTACGTTTCTAATAATTAGCATATGTATGTAAAAAGAGTAATGCCTAGAAATGAAGTACTTACCTTCAAACTTGACTCCTTCCATTTGTCTTAGCAGGAAAAACTTGATATGAAAATAAAGTGAGATTGAATAACATTTGTGTAATGGGAATAAATGTGTACTCTGGGGAGTAAATTAATGTAATTTGTGTGTTACAATGTCAGTGATCCTTTTCCATAACTCTGTAGCCCTCCTACAGTGACATTGCAGCCAATCCAAAGGTACTAAAATGGATGACAGAGCTTACAAAGTTGCGGAAGCAAATTAAAGGTATAAGTATGCATTTTGTGGAAAGTCTGTATTTTTGAAACATAATTCTACATAAAAAATTTTTAAATAATTTTAAATATTGGAACTGGCATGTACCTTTAATCCCAGTACTTAGGAGGCAGAGGCGGGCAGATCTCTGAGTTTGAGGCCAGCCTGGTCTACAGAGTAAGGTCCATGATAGCCTGGGCTACCCAAAGAAACCCTGTCTTGAAAAACCAAAATAATAATAATAATAACTATTTTGGAAATATTTTTGGAAAAAGATTTCTTTATTTCATTGTTAAGGCCACAAGCATATGTTAAGAAATGGGAATCTTTGTGCTGTCTTCTTTCCAACGTCTTTTCTTTATTTATGTGAGTTTACTCTTTGAAAGATAACACAGATTATATTCATGGGTGCACTGATCCTATACAGTTTATCTGAAATACAGTCTAAATATTGAGCTGCTTTGGGTTTCGGTGGGTATTTTATTAAGATCTTTGTGTATGGGTGGTGAGTAAAATTTTATCTAAGACAATGTAATTAGGATCTGGGAGTTTTGTCTACCATGTGTGAAGCCCTGTGTTCCACCTCTAGTCTCTAGGCCTCGTAAAGTTTTGAAACTATAAAAATTAACTGTTAAGTTGTAGGGTATTTCTATGTAGCCCTGGCTGTCCTGGAACTCACCATGTAGAACAGGCTGGCCTTGAACTCACAGAGATCACCTGGCGCACCCCCCCCCCCCCCCAGTGCTGGGATTAAAGGCATGTTGCCACCAAGCCCAGCCTATGCTCAGAAACACCCCCTCCCCCTCGAATACTGATTTATTTATGAATATCATACCATTGAAATAGAGATGGCAATGGGAATATGTATGCTGTAAACTGTATTCAAAGTGGTTGGGGCAAGTCTACACTCCCACCCCTAGGTTTTCATTTTGTTTTGTTTTTCGAAACAAAGTCTTGTTCTGTCCCCATTCCCCACAGGGCTGGCCTAGAATTTATAGCAACCCCTTGCCTCAGCCTCTTAAATGCTGAGATTACAATCATACAGTATCACACTTGAATGAATGGGTTACTCTTAAAGACAAATGGAGAGGATTGCATTGTGTGTATTGAAACAACAATCCTGGTTACAGAGACTAATAACAAGTTTGGCATCTTAATCCCAGCACTGGGGGATGCAGAGGCCACCCTGATCTACATCTCAAATTACAAGCCAGATAGGGCTACATAATGAACCCCATTTAGGGGGGAAAAATGGTGTCACTCTGAGCTGGGCGGTGGTGGCGCACGCCTTGAATACCAGCACTCGGGAGGCAGAGGTAGGTGGATCTCTGTGAGTTCGAGGCCAGGCTGGACCAACAGCCTCAAACAATACAGAGAAACCCTGTCTTGTAAAACCAAAGTTGAGTCAACAGTTGTTGGGCATAAGTAATTTTTGTCTAGGGTTCTGGCCTGCCTGCTTGCCCTCCCTCCCTCCCTCCCTCCCTCCCTCCCTCCCTCCTTCCTCTTCCTTTTTGTGAGAGTTGACACAAGCAATTTCATCTTTGTTTTGTTTTTGTTTGAGACAGGACTTACCTAGAACAGCAGGCTGGCCCTGAATTCACCATATAGCTGAGGATGATCCTGTTGCTCCCCCTACCCCAAGTGCTAGGAATCCAGGTGTGCACCACCAAGCCTGGCTTCATATTCCTTTCATAAGATCAACCGAGGCTCATAGCTAGACTGCAGACAGTCTTTGGAGTTCAGTACTGTTTTTATGAGCTTCTTCAACGACTGTTAGTTTCTTCCTCCTCTGCAGCAGCAGCCTCTTCCCCCAAAAGCAGTTACATCATCACCTGTTGCCAGGAGGCTCTCCACCGTCAACTGCAACATTTGCACAGCTCGCTTTCTTGTCTTTCTTGCCTCTTGCTCCTCCCTTGCCTCTCTTCTTCCTCTTGTGTCTGTCTGTCTCTCTGTCTCTCTGTCTGTCTGTCTATCTCTCTCATGTCCCCACCCTGATACTGCCTTTGCTGTTTCACTCTTCCCCTCCTCCAGTGAACCTCTCACACTAACTCTGTTGCGCATGGCGTGTTTGCTTAGTGGCATACCTTGGCAGGGCCCACCAAAAGGTACGCAGTCTGTCCACCCCCTTTTTTTCAAGATAGAATTTCTCTGTCTTACAGCTCTGGCTATCCTGGAACTCACTCTGTAGGCCAGGCCGTCCTTGATTTTTTTAAAGATTTTTCTAAGACAGGGTCACTCATTGAACCTGGAGTTCACAAATGGTTATCCTGGCTGTGCAGCAAGCCTCAGCGCCTCCTGTTTCTGCTTTCCCTGTGCTGGGATTATAGGTTTGCATCACATTTCTGAACTGATTTTTACCATGGGTGCTGGGGTTCTGAACTCATCTTCAGACTTGCACAGCAAACACTTTTCCAACTGAACCATCTCCCCAGTCCTTTCTTTTGTCTTCTTCGTAACACATAGTGTTTTCTGAAATAACTAAAACTATTAATAAAATGGTTTTCCTTCCTTGGAAAACAGTGTGTGCTGTGTGAAAAATGTCTGTTGTACCATGCTTTGTGGTGGGCTGCTTGTGAATGTTGTTTACAAGGTCAGGTAGATGTGTGAGCCTGTGTGTTTTAATTATTAATCCTCTTCTGAAATTTAGATGCAAAACACAAAAACTCTGATGGAGAATTTGTAACTCAGACACGTCCTCGGAGTAACACTCTTCCAAAAAGTTTTGGCTCTTCTCTAGACCATGAAGATGAGGAGAATGAAGGTGAACCCAGAGTCATTCAGAAGGAGAAGAAGCCATCTAAGGAAGCGACTCTTGAACTTATTACAAAACGATTGAAGGAAAATCGTGCTGAGCGCCACCTTCCTGAGGATATCAAGGTAATGCTGAGCTACCGTCTCTGCCTGGGGCAGCCTGTAGAATGCCTGGGACAAAATAACTAACCTAGTAGGGAGAGACTTTTCTACCCCTCAGATTTGTCATGTCAAAATATGTTTCTGAAACCTAGAGTACTATGGACTAATGCGTGTTGCAGATTGTTGGCAAGTTGTATATGCAGAGCATAAAATGGCTGAGTTTGAAGGGTGCTATGTGTACCAAGTTCTTGGTATTAGCCTATTGGTATCTGGAATAAACTATGTGGGTTCTGCCACTTGGTGTTTTTCAATAATCCTATTAGAAATGTAGATATGAGATTAGCCATTGAAAAAAAATATTGTCTTGACAGGCAGTTGTGAAACATGCCTTTAACCCAGCACTTGGGAGGCAGAGGTAGGTGGATCTCTAAATTCAAGACGAGCCTGGTCTATAGAGTGAGTTCCAGGACAGCAAGAGCTGCACAAAGAAACCCTGTCTCAAAAACAAAACAAAAGGAAAAGAAAAATTATCACTCAAAAGCCTGTCATGGTGGCACATATCTGTAATCTAAGGACTACTAGAGAATTGGAGATAGAGAGATTGGAAGTTCAGCTAGATAGTGAATTTGAGCCCAACCTGGGCCACATGACACCCTCTTTAAAAAAAAAAACCAACAGCGAAAATCCAGGTGATCTAATTCTCATCAGGATTGCATGAATTGCATTTCTTTTAGGAACCATTACTCTTATGTATGGTGTAGGTACATGTGCGTGGAGGCCAAAGGCAATTGTCCAGTTTCTTGCTCTGTCTCTGCCTTAAGACAAGGTTTCATTGCACCTGGAAGCGGGCCCCATTACTCCATAAAGCCTTCTAGGAGGTAGACCAGGCAGAGCACTCGGTAACCAAGTCCTATGTGAGGTGAGATTGCGGGGGAGATAGTCTCAGGTGAATTTTTGTTCGTGGAATGGTGAACCCAGTCACACTGGCAACAGAATACACCTCTACACCTCCCTCATGATGTAAATATTTGAGTCAGTTGTCCTTGAACAGGACTAAATTAGTCATTTTTATCCCTTCAGCTTTTTTTCCTTACAGCTTTTTTTGTTAGAAAGACAGTCTCCTCCTGGTTGCATTAGCTTAATTCAAATTTACAATCCTAGACTTTAGGTTCAAACTTGAAAATCAAATGACAGTATTTTATAGGGTCTACACTCCACTATTGCTTACTGCATGAATATAATCTGAAGAGATATTTGTTATAGGGGGTGACTGTCCAGTGACTTGTTTGTTATCTCTAATTTCCTCTGGTGAGGGACTGAAAACTGTTAGCCATTCCTGGAAGTATATAGAATTTATTTGGTCTAGTTGAAGGGTATCTTGTGGGACATTGGTTCATTGAGATAAGGGATGAGTCTGGAACAAAAGGAAAGTTCTGTATACAGTGTGTATACACTATAGAAATGTGCCAGCCCATACATACAGAGGGAAACATGAAGTCGTAGGTGGAGGTCTAACGTTGCAAATTGACGGTTTTGAGCTTTCTCTAGGATCTTTACATTATACTGCTAAGGGGTTTCCTTAGTAGAGTGGAGACCCTGGGTTGTAAAATCTGTGTATGTTGAAATGTGTGCCTGCCTCCACTAGTCTTTTTCTTTGGTTTCTCTGTCTGTCTGTCTGTCTGTCTGTCTGTCTGTCTGTCTGTCTGTCTGTCTGTCTACTAGCTCTCATCTGTCCATCCATCAGTTTTGGTACCAGTTGAATCCAGGGGCTCTTGCATAAGCTGGGCACACGTTATGCTACTGAATTACATCAACAGTCATGGCTTTTAAGAAAGACTGTCGTCATCATGCAGCCACACTTACCTTAAGACTCTTGACTCCTCCTGTCCTCCTGCTTCTGCCTCTAGAATGCTGGTATTTTAGGCCTCTGACCACAATGCCTTGTGTGTATTCACGCGTGTGTGTGTGCGTGTGCGTGTGCGTGTGCGTGTGCGTGTGCGTGTGCGTGTGTGTGTGTGTGTGTGTGTGTGTGTGTGTGTGTGTAGTCTGAGGTCAACTTTCAGGAGTTCTCTCCTTCCGTCATATGCTCTGCAGATTGAATTTGGATTGAGCTTAGGTCCCTGGAATTGTGGGTCGAGTGCTTTTAAACATGCTGAGACAGCTTTCTGTCCATATTTAAGATTGTTTTAACAAAAGACTTTGTAACATTGTAGAATGTCAGCAGTTATGGGAATTTCCAGTGTGCTAGCTAGGCACTGTTACAAGTGCTTTTACATTGATGAGTTTAGTCCTTGGAGGCAGAATGGAGTGTTACTGATTTATAAATTGGGATATTGAACATAAGGTAGCTAAGGGACCCAAACTGCATTCATAATTTATACAAAATATAAATTAAGCCATCAAAAGGTATTCTGATGTACTATGAGGGTCGAATTGTATGGGAAACTACAAAATGTTATTGCAAGTCCATAAATCAAAGAGTGCATTAGCCTAGTCTATTGTGCTGATTGTCTGCTCTTTCACCTAATTACACTGGGAGTGAGGAGAATAATGACACCAGTACTTTCCCCTGATTCTAGAAAATGACAAAAGATCATTTGATAGAAGAGAAAACGTCTCTGCAAAAAAGCCTGCTTTACTATGAAAGTCAACACGGAAGGCCGGTAATTCCTTTCTCGCTAAGAAATTTTGTTTTCTTCCTTACAAAAGAACGTGGATCACGCTGGTGGTCTGTATTTTCAGGGCTGTTTTTTATCCATCCTTGTCTCCTACGTACTTACTTTAAAAATTAAATTTGGGGTGAGGGAGTCACACTGCTTGGTTTTGATATCTAGATTTCTGACAGTGAGGTTACTTGGCTTCACTTTTTTTTTGCTTCAGGTAACCAGGGAAGAAAGGCACATTGTTAAGCCTCTCTATGATAGATACAGGCTTGTAAAACAGATGCTGACAAGAGCTAGCATCACTCCTGTCCTTGTAAGTAAAACAAACAAATGTTTGCTTTTGTTTTTACAGACGGAGTCTCACTTTGTAGCCAAACTGATTTGGAACTCAGTAGCCCAATCAAGCAGGACTCCTAAGTTGTGTAATTATAGGCATGCATTACAATGCCTAGCACAAGTATTTCTTCAGTTCATTTTTCCAAAGTATATTTAAGAAAAGAAGGGACATGATGAAACATCATCTTTGAGTTTTTTTGAGTCACACATAGCCAAGACTGGAAAGCTGTTGAGATTAGGAGTTTTTAGAGGGTAGAAAATGCCTGTTACTATTTTCTAGGCACTTGGTAAGCACATAGGACAGACGGCACAGGAGTTAGAACAGGGCACTGAGGTGCTGTAGTGCGTGCTGTGTGCACTACATAAATGGCAGCAGTAGTGCTTGTCTGACACACCTCACCCAGTCTCTGTCTCAGTTGTTTCTGGATAGTTTTGTGATGACACATGAAGGGTGTACCTCTAGTTGCATTTTAATATAAACGAGCTTTGGACATGTATTCAGTAAATATACCATGGTAAGCGTAGAGGTCAGAGGACAGACATCAGGGAGTCAGTTCTCTCCTTCTACTGTTTGGTTTCCAAGGCTCGACTCCAGGTTGGTAAGCTTGCGGTGAGGATGAACATCTTGCTGACCCTATACATGGGTTTTAAAGAAAGAACCTGTCAAGATAATGCCAACTACCAGGTGTCTGGCACACACCTTTAATCCCAGCACTAGAGGCAGGCAATCTATGAGTTCAAGGGTAGCCTAGTCTACATAGCGAGTTCCAGGACAGCGAAGGCTACACAGAGACAGACTCTGTCTCAAAAAACAAAAACTAAATTATTAAATTAAACAATGCTAACTCATAGGGCCAGAGAGATAGCTTAGCAGGTAAGGTACTTGCGTCAAGTCTGACCTGATCTTCGTACACGCTGTGGGACAGCCTCCCCTTCTCTCACACACACAAAAGAAAGGTAGTAAAACGTTTTAAATAATGCTTGTCTGCATTGGTTTACATTAAAACAAACACACACTTTAAAATGGGGTCTTCCTGTGTTGTCCAAGGTGGTTTGTGATGTGTGAATTGAGTTGTGAACACATGTGATCTTTGAGCCTCAGCTATCTCAGTAGCTGGGATAGTGAGCATGCCAACATGAAGAAAAATGAAATCTATAATACTTAGATACAAGTCACAGGACAATTCTTGGAGGTTTGCAAGCCAGCTAGAGCAACTTAGCATGACCCTGCTAACAATGCTCTTCAGAGTGGGAGAGTGCTGGGGCTGTGGCTTAGTGGTGAACCATTGCCTTGTGTGCTGGGATGAAAACTCTTAGGATTTGGTGTAGTCTTGTGTTTCTAAGGAAGACTCCGGTGGGGTTCTCAACCCCAAAATAAAGATCCTAGGACTGGGTGAGGTGGCATATGCCCGTCACCATAGCATATGAGAGGGTTTATCCAGCCTGTGCTACCCAGTGAAACTCTTATCTCAGACAAAGGACTGAAGAAGGACCCTCGTGAGTCTGTCAGGCTCCTGAAGTATCAGTTATCACTCTTACTACGTCATAAAAGTAAAATGTAAGAAAAGGGAGGCTATTAAAGAACTTCTTAAAATTTTAAGATTGTGAAAATAATTTTTATATATTTTTAATTTTTATTGAAAATATTTTCAATGTATTTTGACTGTATTCTTCTGTTCCCCCAACCTCCCAGATCCTCTCCACCCTCATTATCCCCAATTTCATGTTCTTGCTCTTTAAGAAAAGAAGAAAAAATAAAAAGAAAAAAAAAACAAAAAGTAGTTGGCCAACAGGAAATGCACTCCATGGTCTTATGTTTCTGTGTACTTTTTGTTTTGTTTTGTTTTTTTAATCTTACAATTTTCCTCTGGTTTTCCTGTTTTGAGTTTTGTTTGCCTCGTTTTTGGGGAGCCGGTGGGGACTGAGTGCCTGTATTGTACATCATGTGAGTGTGAAGCGCCACTTTAAATATTGAAATGTAAAATGGGCGTTGTCGACTGTTACAGGGGTCTCCCTCCACAAAGCGCCGGGGTCAGATGTTGCAGCCAATCATAGAAGGAGAAACAGCACATTTTTTTGAAGAAATCAAGGTAATTGTGTAGAAAAGTCATTCCCTAAATACATCGCTAGCAGGAAAGTAGAAAGTCATGGCTTGTGGTTCTGCTTGGTTCCCATTGTAGGAAGAAGAAGAAGATGGTGTCAGTCTGTCCTCTGAGTTAAGTGACATCTTGAAAACAACTGTGCACACACAGTCATCATTAGAAAACTCAGAGTCTGATGCTGAAGAGAACCAAGAGAAACTGGCTCGGGATCTCCGTCTGTCATGTACACGGGCAGCTTCTATGTGAGTACTCAGCTTGTGATTTTAGCTTATTTTGTAATTAAGCTTCCATATCAAGATACCCAGTATAAATAGCTGAATGCTTGGAGGGAATTACTATGAAGAGATTTATCAAAAATGGCTTTGTGAGATACTTTTATAAGTGTGATTTACAAATACAGATTTTAGCTCCTATTTCCCTCCCTTTTTTGTGGGGGCGTGGCTAGTGGTGATGGTACCCCTGCTGCTGTGAATGGAGCCTAGGGCCTCGTGTAGGGAAGACAAGTACTATATCCCTGTCACGTTCTGTTGTGAAATTGTGTGAGAGGGTCAAGCTGCTTAAGGCATGGGTCTCTCGCTGTGCTGTGCTGGAACTGCAGCTATGTGGCACCTCGTTTGGCTTTTTGTGTGGACTTCGGGGTCCAGACTACTCAACTGATAGTAGTTCTAGGAACCAAACTTGTTTTTATGTGGACTTCGGGGTCCAGACTACTCAACTGATAGTAGTTCTAGGAACCAAACTTGTTTTTATGTGGACTTCAGGGGTCCAGACTACTCAACTGATAGTAGTTCTAGGAACCAAACTTGTTTTTATGTGGACTTCGGGGTCCAGACTACTCAACTGATAGTAGTTCTAGGAACCAAACTTGTTTTTATGTGGACTTCGGGGTCCAGACTACTCAACTGATAGTAGTTCTAGGAACCAAACTTGTTTTTGTGTGGACTTCGGGGTCCAGACTACTCAACTGATAGTAGTTCTAGGAACCAAACTTGTTTTTATGTGGACTTCAGGGGTCCAGACTACTCAACTGATAGTAGTTCTAGGAACCAAACTTGTTTTTATGTGGACTTCGGGGTCCAGACTACTCAACTGATAGTAGTTCTAGGAACCAAACTTGTTTTTTATTGGCCTTGTTATCTTTAGATGGATTTATGACAGTGGTTCTCAACCCTTATTTCACCTTAACAATTAACTAGGAAGGGGTGTGTGTGTATGTGTGTATGTACATTTGTATGTGTGCACTTGTAAGTCAGAAGACAAACTTGGATGCTGTTCTTTTTTTAAAAAAGACTTGTCAGGTTTTTTTGTACTTTTTAAAAGATTCATTTTAATTACTGTGTATTTTTATGGATTTGCACACATGTGTTGAGTGCCTCTGGTGAACATAAGAGTGCATTGTGACTCCTTGCTGTGGAGTTACAAGCTGTTTTGAGCAGACTGACTGACGTGTGGTGTTGAAAGCAGTGTGTGTGTGCCTCCTCAGCCGTCTCCCCAGCCTTGCTCTTACTTTAGTGTCTCCCCAGCCCCCAGCCTTGCTCTTTCTTTAGTGTCTGGTGCTTTGCCTGCACCGTGTGTGTGTGTGTGTGTGTGTCTGCTGCCCCCTGCAGGCCGGTCTCTGGGATTAGAGTTACAGTTTGGAGTCAACCTGTGGGTACTAGGAATTGAACTCATCACTGCTCCTTCCCCTCTTTTTGAGACAGTGCCTCTTATTGACCCTGGGACTTGCTGATTACTGGCCGGGGGTCTTTGAAGAGCCAGGGTTATAGGCGCACACCATTGCACCCAGGGATTTTGTGTGGGCTGTGAGAGTCAAGTTCAGATTCCTCAGGCTGTGTGGCAAGCACTTTATCAACTGAGCAGTTCCCACAGTCCCAGGACAGTTTGGTGATTTAATTGATTTGTAGGAGAAAGCCAATCAGCAGCAATGAGGGCTAGAACACTGTTAATGTGATGAAGAAACTGCGCCTTTAGTGATGTTTTTCTTCCATTTTAATTTTAACTTTAGGCCTGAATTACTGGAACAGCTTTGGAAAGCCAGAGCTGAGAAAAAGAAACTACGAAAAACGTTACGGGAATTTGAAGAAGCGTTTTATCAACAAAATGGAAGGTTTGTTAAGCATTTTAGATATTCACATCTTTCACCTTTAACTTACAAAATGCATGTTAAGATAATGGAATGGAACTAGAAACACGGGTACAGATGCCCTGTTGCCAATCCTGGGACCAGTTTGATCCCCAAGGCCTCCATGGGGGAAGAAAAGAAATAGTTCCTAAAGGATGTCATAGCACATGTGCTGTCACGCTCCCACACACTAAGAATTTCAGACACATTGTGTATAGGATGTTAGCCTTGACGTGTTATTTCTAACTCTAAGGCTGTATGTAGCTTGGTGCAAGAGCATTTGCCTAACATGTGCAAGGTCCTGGGGTTTAGCCCTCAGCACTACAACAGACAAAAACTATATAAACTAACAGTAGACCACGCTGCTCTCAAACTCAGATCCATTGCTTCTGCCTCCTGTTACTAAAACCACAGAAAAGTCATAACTGGAGTAAGCATTTCAAATATTTTCAGGTTTTCCTGAAGCCGTTCTTTGTTTGCACTGCTGGAGCTCAAACCCATGAGGCAAACATTCTACCACTAAGCTATATCCCCAGCCCCCAGGCACTTTATATTGCTTAGAAGTGACCTGTCTCTCTGACAGGATTTTATTGTGCAGCTATGACTAGGCTGGACTTGCTTTGTAAATCAGGCTGGCCTAGAGCTCAGATTTACCTGCACAGTTAAAGTGTTGGTATTAAAGATGTGAGCCACCTGCCTGTTGTATGATATAGTGTTTCTTTTCTAGGAAAAGATCCACAGGAATAAAATCCTTGTTAAGACAGGGTTTCTCTGTGTAGCCCTGGTTGTTCCAGAACTCACTCTGTAGATCAGACTAGCCTTAACTCTGAGATCTGCCTGCCTCTGCCTCCGGAGTGCTGAGTTTAAACACCACTACCTGGCTGGATTCTTAATTTTTATTCTAAAACAAGCTCAGGTTGTCACTGTGCTGCTTGTTGGGTTATCTGGACTACTCCTTATTCTTGAGATGTGTAGGTATGTGGCTCCTATAAACAGTATGCCTTTAACTGCTTTGGACAGCTGACCTGTATCCCCAGAGTTGGGGATGGGGAGGGGTGTAGACAGGCTCACTAAAGAGCCAGTCTAACCAAAAACTAGCAGGCTTTAGGCTATTTGAGATACCTTGTTTTATGAGAACATGATGAAGAGGGATAGAGGATGCCAAAAGTCTTCCTATGACCTCTGCATACGCCTGTGCACACACGTGCGCTTTAAAAGTATGAGCAGAGTTGAGGACTAAGTCTCGAGTAACCTAGGTGGCCCTACAAACCTGGAGCTGTTACAAATTCCAAAATATTTTCTTTTGAAAGAGCCGGGGCAGGCCAGGCGGTGGTGGCGCACGCCTTTAACCCCAGCACTCGGGAGGCAGAGGCAGGCGCAGGCGTGGATCTCTGTGAGTTCAAGGCCAACCTGGTCTACAGAGCGAGTTCCAGGACAGCCTCCAAAACAATACAGAGAAACTCTGTCTCAAAAAACCTAAATAAACAGATAAACAAACAAATATAAAGAGCCTGGGCCTGGAAATAATTTTAAGAATTTCGCATGTATATGGGTTATCAAGTGTGATTTAAAAAATCTGAGTACTGGGGAAATGGCTCAGTAAGTGAAGTACCTGCTGTGTGGACCTGAGTTTGATTCTCAGAGCCCAACCCAGTTTGTAGTGGTGTCTGAATGCTGTATCACTGGGGCTTGATAGCCAGCTAATGCTGTGGACATTTGTTTAATGATGCAAAGGTGTTGCATTCTTTTATGTGCGTTAGTTTGCCTGTCTAAAACTCCTGATTAGTCTAACAAAGAGCTGAATGACCAATAGCAAGGCAGAAGAAAGGATAGAAGGGGCTGGCAGGCAGAGAGAATAAATAGGAAGAGAAATCTGGGAGAGGAAGAAGGAACGAGAAGAGGAGGATGCAAGTGGCCAGCCACCCAGCTACATAGCAAGCCACGGAGTAAGAAGTAAAGAAAGATACACAGAAACAGGAAGGTAAAAGGCCAGAGGCAAAAGATAGATGGGATAATTTAAGAAAAGCTGTCTAGAAACAGCCAAGCTAAGGCTGGACATATATAAGTAATAAGCTTCAATGTGTGATTTATTTGGGAGCTTGGCTTCGTGATGAATGAAAGAGTAAAAACAACGAATAACAAAATCAAGGGTTACCTCTGGGCTTCTCTCATGCACACACATGTATAAGAAAACTAAGTGCTATAAACGCATTTCCCATGCACCTTTTTTATGTTGAAAGAAAGCAAATTATAATTGGTGGTTGATGCTGAAGTGCTCACTCATGGAGTGTAAGATGACGCATGGGAGCCTTCTAGTGCCTACAGTCTGCTGATGAGTGTATAGGAAGTTGTTTAAGCAGTTACTAGAGGATCCATCAAAACACTCTTTGTAGAATGTTCTTTGTGTGACTTATGCCCTGCACAGCTGTTTTTATTTCAGCGTAAATTTGTGATATTATGCTCCACATAAGGACAACTTTCGAGTTAGATTTTTATCTTCCCTAGGAATGCCCAGAAAGAGGATCGTGTCCCAGTGCTTGAGGAGTACAAGGAGTACAAGAAAATTAAAGCCAAGCTCAGACTTCTTGAAGTTCTTATCAGCAAACAGGACTCTTCAAAATCCATATAAAGTATGTTCCCTGAGCACTGGCATCGTAAACTCGGCTGTGTTCCTTGGAGGTTCACCATGTGTACTTGGCTGGCACTCGAGTTCACGGTCAGGCACTCAGAATAATTAATCCCCTTGCACTCGGTGGTGGTTCAGTAGGGAAGGAAGGCTGTCCCACATTACCGCAGATTCCTCCATTGTTTACTGCAGATCCATCTATTAGCAAAAGACAAGAATTTTATTCTTTTCAAGAACTTTGGAAATACAAAGCTTTTGTTTACTGTTTTGTTTTTCCTTTTTCATTACTGAAGAAATGAGAGGAAAATCTTGACACTGAATTCTTCAGTTGCCATTTTCACAGAATGACTGAGAATTTAAAAAGAAAAGCCTATAAATGTGACATATGCAGCTGTATTGTTTTTCCTAGAAAACCAAACTGAATTTTCAAATCCTAGTGTGGAACACCTTTCTGTGTAATTCCCAGAGTGACACCTGCACAGATAGTACTTAGCTAGAATTTGCAAATCAGTGGTCCCACCTGAACGAAGATAACAGTGGGTAGACACAATCACACGCGTCTCTCACGTCACATGTCACATGCCGTCACGTCACATGCCGTCTACAGGACTTGAGTTACTGTCTACCAGCAGTGATGTGTCTTGTCTGCATCAGATCCATGCCAGTGTGGAGGGACTCGGATGGTGCTCAGCTGTGTGTGTTTTACACTGGGCCTCGATGGGCACAAGAATGGTTACACCTCAATCCATCTGTTCTTCAAGGGCTATACCACTGCAGCTGTTCATGCCACTCAGAGGGCTGCTCTGCCTCTCCCTCCAAAGTCACTTGCTGTCCACAGCAGCCACTTCCAGGATGTGTAGTGTATGCCCCTTGCCATACAGACATACGTACATGGACTCTCAGCCTCTCTTTTCCTTCGGCTTTGCATGGCTTTTCTTCAGGTAATCTGCTAATCATTTTTATGGAGTAGTAACTTGTATTAATACAATAGATGTGGGTCAGGCTTAATCTAAATGGATCATTCTTCCTCCTCCTCCTTCCCCTCCCCCCTCCCCAGGTGCTTTTTTGAATTGGTAAATGTCTCACTGCCCATGCTTTGCATGTAATGACTCATGCATGATTTTCTTAATAGTTTGTCTCATACAAATGGAATTTCACAAACATCTTCAGTAAGGTGAGGAAAGCATGCACCTCGGTCTTCTGGCACTATTATTTAACAGGAAGAGCATGAGGTAGCTTGGTAATAAATAGTGTCTCTAGTACTTCCCACTTCACGTGTGTGCGATGCCTTTTTGTGGGGAGAGGGTAAAGTCCAGCGGAAGTGAATGTGTAGTTGGAAGATTTTTTTTTAAAGCACTAAATCCAGCTTTGTTTGTGTGGTTCCTTTTGATATTGCTAGCTCATTCATAATGTATTTTTAGGAAAGTAATTAAGAATGCCAAAAAATGTATCATTTGATTTGAATCCATCATGTGGTGTACTTTTTAGTTTCTTTTGGTCTCCAGACAGGATTGCTACATGTAGTTTTATGTGCACTGTATATTTTTATGAATGTTTTATTTTGTATACCACATGCAAAAATGTCCATGTGCACTATTTAAATTTTTTAAATAATATATTCCTTCTCTATAACGCTAAATCTATTTGAGTACAATATTTTTATAAGTGTGTAGCTTGACTGGTTTCACTGAGTTACAGCTGCATCATGATTTGGTCATTTGGTGTTAGTTTTGGCTGAGTAGTGAAATGACAGCACACTTGTCACTTATTCATGGTTTAGTGGTGGTGATAGGATTAGGCACCTGAGAGTTTTACTTTGGCACATATAAAAATCATATTTGCATAGAAATATTATATAGATACGTATGTCCACCCGTGTGATCACATTGCTGTGTTCCTTTGGCACTTCATTGTACAGAATTTTGTAATAAAAGAACTTTAATGTTCTAAGTCATTGTAAATGTATGTTTGTTTTCATAGGACAGTATCTGTTCTATCCAGTGATGATGTCCGGGATACACTAACCCTGCATTCTCTGGGGGCGTCCACACACTGCTTCTTAGAGCTGTTTAGGGAGAGTAGCCGGACTATGTCCATCTCCCCAGACGGGGCCTCATGTATCTAGTCTTGACATTGCTGCATAGCCAAGGACCCTGCACTTCTGTTCCTCCTCTGCCTCCTCGTGCCAGAATTAGTCATTTCTTGTTGCAGTGAATTTCTGCATTAAGAAAACTCAACCCAGCCGGGCGTTGGTGGCGCACGCCTTTAATCCCAGCACTCAGGAGGCAGAGGCAGGCGGATCTCTGTGAGTTCGAGGCCAGCCTGGTCTACAGAGCGAGTTCCAGGACAGCCTCCAAAGCCACAGAGAAACCTTGTCTCGAAACCCCCCCCCCCAAAAAAGAAAAAACTCAACCCTCCTTGTTTTGTGGAAGGTGGGTAGTGATTTTTAAAGTCCTTTACTTACTGAGCATGTGGTGATACACATCTGTAGTCCCAACTACTCCAGAGGCCATGGCAGACCCCAGGAATTGAAGGCCAGCCTGGGTGACTTATTTTTTGGTTGGGGAGGATCAAGACAGGGCTTCTCTGTGTAACAACCCTGGCTGTCTTGGAACTCGCTCTGTAGACCAGGCTGGCCTTGAACTCATAGAGACCCGCCTGCTTCTGCCTCCCAGGTGCTGAGCTTAAAGGCACGGTCCATCACTTCCTGGCTTTTTTTTTTTTAAGTTTTATTCATGTTTTAAATATATACGTTAAGCATTAATATGTAAATTAACTGCTGTGGTTGAATGTGGTGTTGCTTTGGCCCACAGAACAGAGCATAGGGTTACTGTGAAGAGGGTTATGTAGCTTAGGAAAGTAGCATTTCCCTCCAGTTTCTAAAATACCAGTCATACACAACAAACAACTTCTTATGTATAGCATCCTCTTTAGAAACTAGATGAATTCTGCATTTAAAGGTGGCAATGAAATTTCTGTATTTAGCTACAGTTCTGTATTTGACTTTTTCTAGGCATTTTGGAGTTTGCAGACTGTCTTGGAACTCGTTCTGTAGACCAGGCTGGCCTTGAACTTGAATAGATCCACCTGTCTCTGCCTCCCGAGTGGTGCATGCCGCCACTGCCTGGCTCATATCTTTCCAGAATCTTATCACTTACCTCTGGCCAAAAGTGAGACCCTGGGGCATGACACATGTGGAAGTGCCGACAACAGTCTGTGTCTCTGCCTCCCTCCGACCTTAGAGGTCTGCCCCAGTTCTTAAACTGTGCCCCATGGCCAGGAAGCATTCGCTTTACCTCCCTTTAGTGATAGATCTTGAAGAAACCCTGTGAGTATGCCCATGTGCATATTACAGGGAGCGCTTGGCAAACTCGTGGGTTGTACAGTGAGCTCCATTCAGCTGCACTCATCTACGGAAACCACCCTGTAGGATGGATAGCTGCTTTAGTGCTTTAAAATGTGTCTCGGCTGCAAATGTAGTTCAGTGCCCAGCACTTGCAGGACTCTATACTCAACCCCCAGCACAGTGAGAACGGTGCAGTTAGCCCGAGATGGTGGCGCGTTCAGGGATAGTCCAGTAAGTTCCAGCACCGGATCCCATCAGTCTTACCTCCAGTGTTGTTACTGCAGTTTTCTCATCATTTGGTTTAGTTTTAAACTGATGTAGTGTAATTCCTTCTCCAGCTCCACAGCATACAGGAAGAGCCTAGGAGAGAGTTTAAAGTTAGAGGTGTGATGGCTCTGGGCTCTGCATTAATGCCTGCATGTGTGTCTGCACCGTGTGCATGCCTGCTGCGTGCGCATGCTCTCCTGGGACTGGGATTCGACGGGGCGCCGCCATGTGGGTCTTGGGAAGAAGGGCCTGTACTCCTGACCTCTGCGCCAGCTCTCCAACGTGCTGGTCTCACTGTCTAAGCTTTAACTTTTGAAACTGCAGAAATTGAATTAGGTACGGCAGTGTGGTTCTGGCTCAATAAAACAGCATATATAACGTGTGTCCCTCGGTCTGCATTGGTACACATTGGTGCATGCGGCAAATGCTTACTCTCGAAATTCTTGCTGAGTGACAGGCTGGTAGTCGTCTTGAATTTCAGTGGAGTAATACTTTTTCTCAAGCCTCTCCTTCCACGCTCTCATCTGCTCCGCTTCGTGGATCTCCTGCCAGTGTGGAGGACACATACAGGCTGCAGACTGCAGGCAAGCTACTGACGATCCCAGGCTCCCTGCCGCCAGCCTGGCACTGGGGTGTCTGCATCAGCGGGGCCATCCTGGAAGGCCGGGCCTTGCGCACGGGCAAGGGTGCCTTCTGCCCCGCCGCCTCGTCGAGGCTAACACTCTCCCATCCTTCCTTCCTTCGGTGCTGAGCATTGAGCCCGGGGTCGCATAGGCGCAGTGCAGGTGCTCCGCCCCAAGCTACCCCCTCAGAATGCATCTGTGGGCATTCTTTGCCCTCCCGGAAGCTTTTCTGCCTCGGTTAGTGGCCTGAATGCACCAGTGCCGTGTGCACAGGCCTCTCATTAGAAAATGTGTATCGCTGCCCCCTCCTGGTCTGAGGACTTCCTATGAGCTATTCTTATCAGCACTGACTGTCCTCTGCGAGTACATGATTATGTTTCAGTGTGTGTGTGTGTGCGTGTGCATGTGCGTGTGTGTGTTAGGATAACTTGCAGGTGCCTTTACCTGCTGAGCCATCTCTTGCCCACCTCATTTTTCTCAGATCTAGGGTGGAAAAAAAGAAATGTGTGTGGAAATAAGGAACAGCCCTAGGGAAGAAGAAAGGAGTGTGTCAAGGTGTGACTCAAAAGTGTTTTCCTAAGCCACGTGTGGTAGCGTGCACTTGGCTGCTGAAGCCCTGAGGACTTGAGTTCAGATCTCCGAGGGCTAGGTTACAAGCTAAGTTGTGGCATCGTGTCCCTGCAACCTCAGCCCTGTGGGGGCTGAGACAAGCTTGCTGGCCAGCTAGTCTAAGTGAGCTCCAGGTGCAGTGCAGCTACCTCAACTAAGGAAACAGGCAGCACTGGCTTTGCCCTCCGTCTGCACACAAGAACGTGTACACCCAGATGCACCCCACAGACTAACTTAGAAAACAAATGCACTTTGGACTAGGACAACCGCATATTAATTTACTAAGTGTATTTAGCCCAGAGATTAATGCAATCTCCATTATTCTTTAAACAGTTTGCTATGTCCTGATTATTCTGAGAGGTGTGTATTGGAGGTGACAACTGTTACTCTGATTATTCCTGTTAATGAGAAGTAATAGAGCTATCACTTGTGTTTAGAAAAATGAATTAAAATCTTACACTTTCATTAAAGCCTTCTTTTCTGGCTTGCTGGGTCAAATCTCCGGGGGTTTTCCTACTGTAAAAATGCAAAATAAGCGTGAGTAAAAAAGGCAGTGAGCCACGAGCAGTCAGATCTACAGCAAGGCCGTCTCTGTCGAGGCCAGTGCTGACATTAACAGCATGCAATTAAACAGGGCTGTGGCTGGGAAACAAGTCCACCTTCCCGCCACTAGTAAACGTGAGCATCGTGCTAAGCCCAAATCCTGTTGGTAAGTGTTGCTGTAAAATGTGCCTATTTTGATGTTTGTAAGCCCCGTGCTGCATGTAGACTGGAGTTGTTTTATACCTGTGTGAGGGAGTCAGAGCCTTTCCTGAGTGGCAAAATACGTCCCGTGCTCTGTTTTCAGCGGTGCCTCTGGCATGCCCAGAGCCTCACACTTGGGGGCCTGTCCTCTGCCAGTGACTGCTTATCCGCTCCGTGTGAGTTTTAAATGAGGGTTTCACAATGGCCTTAGAAATCAAAAGGCTTACTGATGTCAGAAAGACACCGGATGGTGATGGTTTTACAATCACCCTTAGCCCTCACTGGGACCGTTTGGTAGGCTAAAGGTGCAAAGTGCATTTCCAACTTGTTAATAGTTTCATAGGCATTGTAAGCCCATCCTACGTGGACTGAGTGTCACCCTAGGCTCACGTTTTTATGCTTGGTCCCCAGCTGGTGGAGCTGTTTGGGAAGGATGAGCTGTGGCCCTGGAGGAGGAGGAGTGTCATGTTTTGAGGTTTTAAAAAGCCCACAGGTGTGAGCCCTCAGCTCCCGCTCCAGTGCCATGCTCCCTGCCCTGGTGGTCACGGCCTCACCCCTGGAACCGAATGCCTCGGTCTTCCCTTCACAGCAGTAGAAAAGTGACTAAGACATTTTGTGTGGAACATGAAAGTAATAAAAAAATTTTTTTAAGTCTTACATTTTCTTGTCTTCGTTGTCTTGAGCTTTCTTCAGTCTGAGTTTCTCGAGAACGTTAAAGTAACTCTGGGTTAATTAAAAAGAATTTAAAAATTCATTTAAAAATGACCTCCTGTATTCTCCACATTCAATTATGTGAACTATGACGCGTGTGTTGTAGGAGATGTCTGACACAGTGCCAGATCCTTTCCCTGTGAGAGCAGAGGGTGCTCCCAGGGGCACTGCTGGAATGTGCTGGGCAGGTGGGGATGACAGGAGGAGGGAGCAGGCCAGGGGAGGATGGAGAGTACTGGGAAAGACGATCGGAATTTGGGAGACAAGACAGAAACCTAGTGCAATGGAAACTCCTAGGAATCTACAAGGGTGATCCTAGCTAAGACTCATGGGGATGGGGACGGTGGAGCCAGAATTGTCCATCTTCTGTAACTGGGCAAGACTTCCAGAGGAGAGACGGGGACACCAGCCTAGCCACAAACCCTCCTTTGTCCTGCCAGTTGTGCTGGGGTAAAGACAGCAAACAATTTGAAAGTAGCCAACTGATGACTGGTCCAGCTTGAGACGGTGTCACGAGAGGAAGCCCACCCTTGACACTGCCTGGAGGGCCAGGAACCAGAGACTGGGTAGCCAGAGACCTAGCAATGAACCGAACACTCGGCAAAGAGAAACAAATTAATGAAATGATTCCTGGGTAGCCCAGGGACCTAGCATAGTGCCGAACACTATCGGCAAAGAGAAAAGAAAGTAATGGAATGATTCCTAACGGTGCTCTTCTATACTCGTAGACTAGCATAATCATCAGAGAGGCTTCATCCAGCAATGATAGGCAGAGACCCACAGCCGAACATCAGGTGGACCTTAGGGAATCCTGCGGAAGAGGGGAAGGAAGGATGGTAGGAGCCAGAGGGGTCAAGGAAACTAACCAGGGCTTACAGGGGCTCTCAGAGACTGGACTGACGATCAGGGAGCCTGCGTGGGCCTGCGCTAGGTCCTCTGTGTATGTTAGGGCTGTGTAGCTCAGCCTTCTTGTGGGTCTCCAGCGGGGGCTGTCTCTTCTCTTTCCCCTGCTTTTGGGACCCTCTCCCTCCTAGTGGGTTGCCTCACCCAACCTTAATAAGGGGGAATGTGCTTAGTCTTACTGCTTTGCTGTGTTTGGTTGATACCCTGCGAGGCCTGCCCTTTTCTAAAGGGGCGGGATCCAAGGCCCCTGGCCTCTGTGCACCAGCACTCCCGTGCACACACCCCTACCCACAAATTAAAAGTGTTAAGACGGGCTGTCTTAAGTATGTTAACACGTTTACTGTGTACAGCCAACGTCACACTCAAGGTATCCGAGATAAAAAACTCCACAGTTGAGCTTACTGTGGGGAGGTCATCCTAACAGCATGCGTTGTCTTATAGCCGAGCTCTCCGGCACAGCTGCCGACCTCTGGGAAGCACTCTGGAACTGCCAGGGTGTCAGGCTACTCGTGAGTGCTGGCTAGCTCTGTCAGCTTGGAAAAGAGGGAACCTCAGTTGAGAAAATGCCCCTGCCATGCGGGAGTCTGGGGGGGGGGAGCATTTTCCTGACTAATGGTTGATGGGAAGGGCCCAGCCTGCTGGGGTCCGTGCTCCTGGATGCGGAGAGAAAGCAGGCTGAGTGTGCCAGTAACGGCATTGCTCCTCTGTGGGCCCCTGCTTCCGCTCCTGCTCTGACAACCCTGGACGGTAGGCTACAGGCCGAAGGCCGGGCAGAGTACATGGTCATGTGTTTTATCACGGCAGTCGAAGCCATAACAAGGTAAGAAAGACATAACTCAAAACGAGCTAGATGTCAGAAGGACGGGGGGGGGGATTCTATCGTCCAGAACAGAAGGTGAGGAGGAACAGCTGCGAAGGCATTTCAGGGCTAGGAAACTGTGAGCAGAAGGCAGAGCGTGAGGTGTGTCACGCAGACAGCCCTCCGTTTAGCAGCCCTGTAGAGGCTCAGGGAGGACTGTGGCTCATTCAAGGCCAGCCTGGCCCACACATGGAGTATCAGGCAGGGGTGCGTGCAGAGACCACACCTCTGAAGACAGAGGGCACACAGCGAAACCAGCAAAAGCCAAGCGCTCTGACTTTCCGGGGCTTACAGTGTAAAACAGAGGGAGGCACAGTACAGGCTCCAGCTCGTGACAGTCGGGGGCAGCTCGTGACAGTCGGGGGCAGGTCGGACCTGTGAGGGGGGTGGGATGGCTTTGGGAGAGCCAGGGAAGAAATGCAGCTTAGTTTGATAGGCCCGGGCAATCTGCTAGACTCAAGGTGGGACGGCCTGGGGTCAGGCTAGAATGTGTAAGAGGATGTTATCGTACGGGGAATGAAACCCCCATCTCTCGGTGGCGGAATTTCAAGGGTCCTCGAGATTCCACAAGTGTGAGCAAGACCTGTGTGTGGAGAGAAATTACTAGCCTTGAGGACGGACTGTCGGAGAGCCAACAGGACAGGAAGTCCAATGTTTGAGCCTGGATAGACCCGAATGACATTGCCACCCAGGAGACAGCAAGGAAGACAAGGGACCCAAGCGCTGAGCTTGGTTGTAGAAATTCGCTCCTGTGTAACTTGACACACCCTTGGGAGCTTGACATGGTTTCCATTCATCGCCCGACAGTATTTAGTGTGGAACCATGAACTAATTTTGGCTAAATTGCTGACCCCAGAGGGGCTGGAGATGTAGCTCTGTTGGTTAGAGTGCCTTGCATGTAGGAAGCCCGGGTCCCATCCAAGCAACACATCAGCCGCGCACGGTGGTCCACGCCTGTGATCCTCGCACTCGGGAGGCAGAGGCAGGGGATCGTAACACTATTCTCGGCTGCATAGTGAGTTTGAGGCCAGCTTGTGAGACATGAAGCCCTTTCTCACACAACAACAAAAAGACCTGGAGGGCATGTGTGTCATGTCTTATGGAGGGTTTGTTTAAGTGATACATTTTTTCCTTTTAGAACTACATTTAGGAAAGTAAATTAACTAACCTTCTTAATTATTTTACCAAGTTCAAAGTCAGGTCTTCTGCCGATTGAATAGTCAGCCTTCACTTCAGAATAGGTGTCGTTAATTATGGCCAAGAACATGTTCTGGGGGGGAGAAACATTCAAATCATTCTTTCTGTAAAAATTTACTTAGGGGTGGACATAGGGCTCAGTGGGAGAGAGCTTGTCTAGAATGTCCTGTTTGATCCCTGGTATCCCAACACACACACACACACACACACACACACACACACACACACACACACACACACACACACGTGACTTTTAAAACTGGGCCCTGCAGCAAGTGTCTATAGCTTGGCTCCTTGGAAAGCTGAGGAAGAGTCTCGAGCCTTCCTCCAGCAAGTCCACGAAACCTGAATCTCCCCTCAGTAGCAGGACTAGCTGGGACCAGGCGTGTGATGCCCCGGCGCTGTGAAGGGAGAAAGGGAGGCAGCCGTCCTCACCAGCAGCACGAAGAACACGAAAAAGATGAAAGTGATGAAATAGATGGGGCCCAGGATCCAGTTGGCCTGCTGGATGCCAGCGAAGTTGAAGTCTCCCAGGACAATCCGAAACTGTGCGAATCTTTGGTGGGAAGGAAGAAAAGCATTAGGAAACGTCCCGTTTCTCTGTTTGTTTGTTTTGATTTTTCGAGACAGGGTTTCTCTGTGGCTTTGGAGGCTGTCCTGGAACTCCCTCTGTAGACCAGGCTGGCCTCGAACTCACAGAGATCCACCTGCCTCTGCCTCCAGAGTGCTGGGATTAAAGGCGTGCGCCACCCATGCCCGGCAGGAAATGTTCCATTTCTTCATTTAGATACATGACGACTTGGAGTTGCGAATGTCCCTGGATGCATAAGCCATAAGCTCTTGACCTTTTTTTTTTCAGAGCTGGGAACTAAACCTCATGCATGCTAGGTTAAGTGTTCTATCTACCAGTGAGCCAGCTCCTCCTCTGTGGCTTTAATTATTCTGCCACAGCATCCTAAAACCAGACAGGGCATGGTAGAACGTGCTTACAACCCCAACGCATGGGAGGTTGAGACAGGAGATGAGGAGTTCGGAGTCAGCCTTCGTTACATAGCAAGTTTTAGGTCTTTGTAGGCACCCTCTCCCAAAGGTGGGGCTGCCCGGGTGGTTCAGCCGGGAAAAGGCCAGCCACGTAAGCATGAAAACCTGAGTCTGTGTCCCAAGCACCTATGTAAAAGCTGAGCATGGAGGTACATGTCTGTCATCCCGGTGCTGGGGTGCGGGGAGAGGGGGACAGAAATAGCTGGATTCGCCGGGGGCGGACAAGTGAGCTCCAGGTTCAGTGACAGACAAGACCCTGTCTCAAAAAATAAAACCGAAGTGGTAGAGGTGACTCAGCAGGTCAGGGTGCTTACCGCCGAGTCTGAGAAAATGAGACTCCCGCACGTTGTCCTGACCTGTGTGTGTACCTTCCCACACACACACAACTGAGAAATAGAGTGGAGAGAGCATCGAGGAAGCACCTGCTGTCCCCCTCGGGCCTCCAGCTGTAGCTTTACCTTCACGAGAGCACACACGCGTGCGCGCGCACGCATGCACACACACGCACACACACACACGCACGCACACACGGAGAAAAGACCGGAGGTGTTCCAGTAGGTGATCACGCAGCTGAGGAGATGCTAAACCGGTCTGTCCATTTCCTGTCCCCACACAGACAATGAAGTGTTACAGTATTAAAATCAGCCACAGGGCTGAGCGTTGATGGTGCACACCTTTAATCCCAGCACTCGGGAGGCAGAGGCAGGAGGATCTCTGTGAGTTCCAGGTCAGCCTGGTCTATAGAGCGAGTTCCAGGACAGCCTCCAAAACAATACAGAGAAACCCTGTCTCGAAAAGAGAAAAAAAAAGCCACAGGCAGAGAAATTGCTTTTGTCTCATGTATGGGGAAAGGTGACCTAAGGGTGTGTGTGTGTGGGGGGGGGAGCTTCAACCGTGAAGGGCAGAGGTGGCGTGTGCGCACTTTTCTGTTGCCGTCCGGGGGAAGGGAGTCCACAGACAGAAGTTGTTCGGTCTACTCAAAAGGAGATAGATAAACTGTGGCTTGTCCCTATAATTCTGGCACTCAGAAGGCTAAGACACGGGCATCGCTGCGAGTCTGAGGTCGGGCCAGGGGTGTCAGATCCTGCCTCAAAAGCAAAACAAAAAAATGGATAATTTTCTTTTCTTTTTCTTTCGGAAGCCCTGTCTCATGAGTGCCAGCCTGGCTCCAGACCTGCTGTGTAGCTAAGCGCACCTTCAACTCCTTCTTCCCACGTCCACCTCCCCGGCGCTGGGATTACCAGCGTGCACCACCGCACCAGGTTCCCGTGATGCTAGGGACTGGACCTAGGGCTTTTCTCTCGTGCTAGAGGAGCATTCTGTCAACTGAGCCGGATCCCCAGCCCCCACGTTAGTAAATCCGTGAAACGCCTCATTTTAAAGACGAGCTGGACGTCTTTGTAAGGCGCCTGTCTGCTTGCTTCTATAGGTCTGCCATGTGTTCCCAATGGCTTTATACACAGAGATTGGCTTTTCTTTTATGCTGGCTCTACTAGCTGAGCTGGCCCTGAGGCTGTGATCCCCCTGCCTCAGTCTCAGCCTCTATTTTCTTTCTTTTCCTTTTTAAACTTTTTTTTTTTAAATTTTTCGAGACAGAGTTTCTCTGGAACCCACTCTGTATACCAGGCTGGCCTTGAACTCACAGAGATCCACCTGCCTCTGCCTCCACACGTGCCATCAATGCCTGGCTTGCCTCAGTGGCTTGAGTCCTGTGAATACAGGTGTGTCCCAATAACTCCCTTTCATGGAGCTATTTTTAATGTATTAAACATTTAGATGGGCCGGGCGTTGGTGGCGCACGCCTTTAATCCCAGCACTCAGGAGGCAGAGGCAGAGGCAGGTGGATCTCTGTGAGTTCGAGACCAGCCTGGACTACCAAGTGAGTTCCAGGACAGGCTCCAAAGCCACAGAAACCCTGTCTCGAAAAACCAAAAAAAAACCATTTAGATGTTTTTGTATTTTTGAAACAGAGTCTTGTTATGTAGCCCAGGTTGGGCCTCAGCTCAAACCCGTCTGCTCTTCGTGGCTGAGTGCTGGATACTGGTGTACACCTCCACACACACCTGCCTTTAAACGCTGCCTGCAGCATGGGCAGAGCAATCGACAGGGAAAACTCTTCTAGAGAGGAAGCCTCTGTGGGAAGCACACATTTTCTCTGATCAGAGGGCAAATGCACCCACTTGCGTTACACATTCCCTTGACCTGCCAGTGTTTAAAAAATAGATACCACCATCTACTTTGGCCGTCCAAAGGCAGACTTCGTTTTGAATATGGTGAATGTTTAGCCTTAAGTGGACTTGTAGGACACCAAGCTTTAAATGAACCGTTTACCACGGGGCCCCCGCTGTGGTTTCCTGTAGTGATATCTTTCTTGCACAGACAAAGCCTGTCTGGGGGTCAGAGAATGGAGCTTGCTGCCAGCTAACCATAGAGGCCAGGAGGTCTGTGCAGACAGACAGGAAGTGACATAGCTGGGCAGGATATAAGCCGGGAGAAACAGGAAATCGCTCCTGCTTAGGAGGTAAGGCGTGGTGTGGCTTGCTCCTTCCCTCCGACCTCTCAGCGTTTCCCTCTGCATCTGACCCCGACTTTCTGTTATCCAGACCAGTTAAGAACTCCTTTCACAGCTTCCCAGTTAGAAAACATGAAGACACTGTACTGAGAGCTTACATGGAATTCTGAAAAGTGGAGAAGTCGTCAACCTGTGACCCAAACACCAGGAACCCCAGCTGGGCGTACGCAGAGAATATGATGAAGAACATGATGGCGAACCCCACTATGTCCTTCATGCAGCGGGACAGGGTGGACGACAGCTGAGACATTGTCTCGTTGAAGCTGATGAACTTGAATATCTGAAAGAGATGCAGTGCAACAGTCAGCATGTTCAAACAGAGCTGTTCAGAATCAGGAAATCTAACGTCGGGGGAATTCCTCAAGTAAAGGGAGACGAGGGGGCTGCAGGGATGGCTCAGAGGTTAAGAGCCCTGGCTGTCCTTCCAGAGGTCCTGGGTTCAATTCCCAGCAACCTCATGGCGGCTCACAACCATCTGTAATGAGATCTGGCGCCCTCTTCTGACCTGCAGGCAGGGCACTGTATACATAATACATAAATCTTTTTTTTTTTAAAGGAGACAATGGTAATCAAGGATGCATGAAGATGTTGAAGTGGCCATTTAAAGGTCATGTTAATATTTTAATTACTTTTTTTGGTTTGTATAGGTGGTGGCGGGTTGGGGGAAAGTACACCACAGAGCACACGGAGAAACCAGAGGACAACTTGTGGGAATAGGTCCTCTTTCCCAAGGGTCTAATTCAGGTCATCAAGCTTGGGCAAGTAGCTTTACTTGGTGTTCCAAATTTCTTTCAAAAATGACCTATTGCCGGGCAGTGGCAGTACACTACTTTAATCCCGGCACTTGGGAGGCAGAAGCAGGTGGATCTCTGAATTCGAGGCCAGGTTGGTCTACAGAGTGAGTTCCAGGACAGCCAAAACTACATAGTGAAACCGTGTCTTGAAAAAAATAAAACAAAACAAAAATTCCTTTACCAGTAGGGGACATATTTCCGCTCTATACAAGGTGATAGTCTAACTAACACGAATATGCTATTGGACTATGTAATAAATGAGATATAAATACCTTTATCCATGCAAAGAAGATAGTAATAGCGATTATATTGTTATAGTAGATGTGCCAGTACGCTAGGAAATAGAAGTTCGGGTAGCTTTCAGTGTTTTTCAACAGCCGTCCAAGTAAGAGAAAATTCTGCATGTTACAATATGCATAGAAAGAGACAGCCAGAAAGCACAGCTAAAGGGAAAAAATAACATAGGTTAAATTGAAAACTATCTCTGTCTCTAAATGTTTCCCAGTCTTTGAAGAAAAAAAAAAACACGACAAAGTTCATTTAATGCTTAACAAAAGGGGAGGAAAAGATAGGATATAGGCTTTTAAAATACTGTTGTGCAAACTGGCTTATCAAGACTATTTCTGTACAAAACACAAGGGAGACACCCGCCAATCAACACATGCCTGGGACTACTCAGAAAGGGACTTGACCAAAGGTCCAAGGACACACGGATAGATGTCTCCGTCATCAAGTCTGCTGCAGCTATCTGTATTTTTACATTGAGCTGCTTTTAGAATTCCATGCATCCCTGTCTGAGGTCCCAGTCACGGCACGGTGAGGTAACAGGCAGTGTGCTTAGTGGGCTCAGTTTTCTGGTGTCCCGTTCCACGACTTGTGGCTATGAGAGCACATGGTCTCCAGCTATGGAAACCTGGATGGTGGCGAATCCACTTCTACGCCACCACGGGCTGCGAGCTGCAAGTGACACGTGCCAGCAGGCTTTACTTGGAGATGAGGAAGCCTTTCAGGCCGGGGCAGGCCTCCTGGGTCTGGATGTAGCTGCAGGAAACAGTAGCCGGGCTTGCTGGATAGGAAAATGCCTTGCCTTGGTCTTTCAGCTGTGGTCTTGGCTGACTTTTTCTCTCCTTGGCAGGGTGATAGCCCGTGAGGAACATAGCTATTACAGAGATGGAAGTAGCTCAACTTGCACTTAAAATAGTGTCACCGTGTCTTATAAAAAGAGACGCCTGCTGGGCGTTGGTGGCGCACGCCTTTAATCCCAGCACTTGGGAGGCAGAGGCAGGCGGATCTCTGTGAGTTCGAGGCCAGCCTGGTCTACAGAGCTAGTTCCAGGACAGTCTCCAAAACAATACAGAGAAACCCTGTCTCGAAAAACCAAAAAAAAAAAAAAAAAAAAAAAAAAAAAAAGAGAGAGACGCCACTTCCTGGCCATCGTAACCTGCTGTTAAGAGAAGCTTTTTCCTTGAGAGAAGCCTTCCCGCCAGCCTGGTTCTAGAGCCGCATCAGTCCCAAATAAACACACAGGAGGCTATATTAATTATGAAGCTGTTGGCCTTGCTTGTTTCTTACTGGCTAGCTCTGACTTAAGTAATTACCCCATAATTGTTAATCTAAGTATGTCTCTTACCGGAGAAGTTTCCGGGCTTCCTACCCCATGGCGTTACATCTCGACTCTCCTGTGTTTCTCCTTCCCAGAGTCCTCCTGGACTCCTAGTCCCACCTATCTAGATTCCTATTGGCTCAACAGTGCTTTATTGACATAAGACTTCCCCAACAACCTGCCTTCCTGTCTCGAAAAACCAAACCAAACCAAACCAAAACAAAAAAACTTGCAATCGACGTAAACGAACCTGTTGTAATTTAAGAAAAGCAGCGCGAGAGAGAAAGATACCATGAGACAGGGTTCAAGCAGAGGTTTTTTTTTTTTTTTTTTTTAATTAGGGAAAGGGACCATAAGAAGGGGAAAGGGGAGGGGGGGAGAGCAGCCTCCAGGGATAGGAGCAGCAGGAGAGAGAAAATGGGGAAAGAGAGGGGAGGAGGGAGAGAGGGGAACAGACGGGGAGAAAGAGAGAGAGAGAAGGACGGGAGGTGGGCAGGGCCCCTTTAAGGGGAACACAGTGAGTGTGCACAGGTGGTGCTCTCAGTGGCTGCAGCTGAGGGCGTGTCCGGTCAGAACCCCAAGGACAGTTCAGTACAGATGCCTGAGTGCTAACAGAACCTCCTTAGAACGATGCACCCAGCTCTTTGAATGTGACTTTGGATTTAGGTTATGGGAGGCGTCGAAGATTTACAACGGCTTGAAATTTTTCCTTTGGCAGAAACACACAGATGCTCTGCCCTTTGCTAGACACTAGAAAGGTAGACAGGGCACGTCTTTTTGGCATGTGGTGTGCGCATATGTACGTGTAGATGCATACACCTGTGTGTTTGAGCAGAAGCCAATGGAGGGTGTCGCCCCTGTCACACTCTTCCTTGTTCCCTCGAAGCAGGGTCTTCCCCTGAATCTGGAGCTGATGGCAGGGCTTGGCAAGCCTCCTGCTTCTGCCCTACACGGTGCTGGGGTTACAGGCGTGCCTGGCCACCCCCAGCTTCTTTACGTGGCCGCTGGGGTTCAAGACTTGGGTCCTCGCGCAGGCACAGCAAGCACTCTTACCCACTGAGCCCTCTGCCTAGGCCACTTTCTGATTTTAAAATTTAGATCAGGCCTCCATGTGCTGCCCAGACTGGCCTTGAACTCCTGGGGCCTCCTGCCTCAGGCTCCCAAGCAGCTGGGGCTGTAAGCACTCTCTGCTAACTCTGCTAAGCCTCACTCGAATACATTTCGGGAGTGTGGCTATCAAGACCTCTCATGTGCCCTGAGCACATTGCTTTAATTCCAGCACCCGGAGAGGCAGAAGCATGGCAGATCCCAGTGAATCCAAGGCCAGCTTTAGTCTAGAGAGCAAGTTCAGAGAGAGAGAGAGAGAGAGAGAGAGAGACAGACAGACAGACAGACAGACAGAGACAGAGAGACAGAGAGAGACAGACAGAGAGAGACAGAGAGACAGAGACAGAGAGAGAGAGAGAGACAGAGACAGAGAGAGAGACAGAGACAGAGAGAGACAGACAGAGAGACAGACAGAGAGAGACAGAGAGACAGACAGAGAGACAGACAGAGAGAGACAGAGAGAGAGACAGAGAGAGAGATTTCTTATGGAATCCTCTAGGCTCTTGCTGACCCTCTCAAGGACTAAATCAGAGAAAACAAATAGATTATAGATCTCTCTCTTTTAGGGGCATAAGATTAGACTGCCCTGTGACAGCTCATTTTATATCTGATACTTGTAGCTTTTGAAATAGACCTTGAATGGATAGAAAGCCCTGTGTTTTACACGTCTCCAGCTGCAGGCGCAGATGTGACCCTTAAATCGGACCGTGGCTGTGTACTCACCGCCAAAAGCAGGAGCTCCAGCCAGTTCCAGACGCTTTTGAAATAGGCGGACTTAAACTCATTCATCTTTCTCAGCTCTTGTGTTATGAACACAAAAAGGAAAACGCAGAATATGATTTCACAGGACGCGATGAAGTAATCGTAGTGGGTAACGTATCTGAGGAGCTTCACAGAGTAGAACTGCCACGAGGTGAGGAGCCCGCCCGTCGCAGGGAACTCCGCTACCAGCCTGGAAAAGGAAGTTTGTGAGTGTGAGCGTTTCTAGGTTTTAAGGGTTTATGTTTTAGTATTATTTAGGTTGCTGTGCAACTTCTAAATCAATAATGACATATACCTCAATGCTAGTCACTGATTTTGCACAAAATGTGTTTCCTTGGGGGCTGAGGAGATGGCTCAGAGGCTAAGAGCACTTTCTGCTCCCCCAGAGGACCCTGGTTCAGTTCCCCACGTCTACGTGTGGGCTCACAACTCACGAACTCCAGAAGCTCTGACATTCAACTCTGGCCTCTGCAGGTACCGTACATAACAATGGTGCACATGCAGGCAACACCCACGCGTATCGATTTTTTTTGTTTTGTTTTGTTTTGTTTTTCGAGACAGGGTTTCTCTGTGGCTTTGGAGGCTGTCCTGGAACTTGCTCTTGTAAACCAGGCTGGCCTCGAACTCACAGAGATACGCCTGCCTCTGCCTCCCAAGTGCTGGGATTAAAGGCGTGCACCACCAACGCCCGGCTTCAAATTTTAAAATTTTCTTTAAAAAAAGGAACAGATTTCAGAAACCCAGAGGCAGAAGCAGGAGGATAGTCAACCTGGGCTAAGACCTTTCTTTTTTTTTAATATTTCCTTGCAAGTTCAATTAAAATCTTTCCGTGTGGGGTGGCTCCCAAGTGCGCAGAGACACAGGGAGAGCTGGGCAGATAAACTGGGCTGCCCCGTGATGCCCTCGGGCCTGTTGCTTAGGGAGACCACGTTTGACAAACAGCCTTGGTCTAGCAAAACCTGCCTTTGGCTCTGGTTCATTGGCTCAGGCCCCTGTAGTCACAGACAGGCACCCTGCTCTAAGGGCAGGGCATTGAAAGCCCAAATAGCTGAGCTGAGCCCCCGCCAAATTTAAGGGCAACCACCTAAGTCTTTTCTATCGTTTGGATTTCACCTGTCCCTGCTCTTAGTGACAAAGCCAGTGGGTTTCTTGTTATCCAAGGCGGCTTGCAGTTCTGCTGGGTTCCCGCATTAGCCATCTGGTTTGCATCAGTATATCAAGAGGAGTGTCGTAGGAACACCAGAGTGTGAAACGTGAATAGGCGGGGAGCCTGGGACTACGGTGTGCCCTCTCCTCTCCAGGTTCCCGTTTCGCAGTCAGGAGTCTCAGTGACCAGCTGACGGTGTCACCAGGCATCTGGGTGCCGACCGCCACCGAGTGGGCCCCGGTGTGGAAGCGGCCCTCTGCTGGCGAAGGCTGTCCATCTGTGGAGACCCAGAGGTCCCTCAGCGTGTCACCCGTGACCCATAGGCACCTACAGCTACTCCTCCAGAAAAGAACGGCCGCTGGAACCCTCCCAGTGTTTCTTGAGGGCCATTTAGAGGAGGCGAGACCCAGTCACTCCGCGTTTATAAACACTGCTCCTCACCTCTTTGCTCCTCGTTTCTTCAGCGTATGTGTGCACGAGTGTGAGTCTGATCAAGTGTGAGCGTGTCTTGGTGCAAACGGAGGTCGGTGGACACCTGGCCAGACTCTCTCCTTGCCTTCCGCCGTGCGGGTCTCAGGGACAGAACTCGGGGGTGGTCAGCCCTGGCGACAAGTGCCCTGACTCACCTCTTGCCACCCTCTGTGCTATGTCTTTGTAATCCCTGCAGGTGGCTAACACGGGAGTCCTTGCTAGGGACATCTTGATGGCCAGCGTCTTCCAACAGAACTCCTGGTCCCTCATTTCTTAAGTCACATCTTCCGGAGGGTAAAGGAAGCCAAGCCCTCCCCTCCTTAGCCTTTTTTTTTTTTTTTGAGCCTTGGTTTACAAATTAGCTCGGGCACCGAGTGCTTCTCGTCGGTCCTGAAGTGTCTTTTGAACTTTATATACTGAACTGGGTTTTCCCTTACATTTACGGAAGTCACAGATTTGTGACATTAGCAACACTAGTCTGAGCTAACGCCAGTGTACATGTGCTGGAGAGTTTTATGTCAGGGTGACACAAGCTAGAGTCGGCTGGGAGGAGGGAACCTCAACTGGGGAAAACGCCTCCATAAAATCAGGAGGTAGGCAAGCTTGTGGGGCGTTTTCTTAACCAGGCCAGGCAACCCAGGGAGTGCACGTCAGGAATCGGCACCACTCCACGGCCGCAGCATCAGCTCTGGCGTGGGCTCCCCTTCATGGTGAACTGAGGTTGGACATGTAAGAGGAAATAAACCCTTTCCTCCCCCCCCCCAGTTGCTTTTGGTCACAGCTTTTTAATCACAGCACTAGAGACGGAAGACAGTGTATATTCTGTCATATATATATATGTATATATATATATTGGCCCACGCCCACACACAGTAGAAAGAGAACCCCTACACATTGTCCTGTCCTTGACACGCGTGCCACGGCATGGAACATGCCCTTACTATAAATGTAATACACATGGTGGCAAAGTGACTTAACGGTCATACGTGAGTTCGCCCCCTGACACTTATGGGCCCCCACGGTGATGCATTTTATCCGTTCTCTGAGTCCCAGGTATGGTCTTAAAGGGGCAGGTAAGGTTATGAAGGACGGCTTTAACCTAAGGGCTGCATTTCAAGTCACTGCATGCTTTTCTTCAGGGCTCCTCTCTCAAAACACAGCTCTTCAAGCCAGAGGAAGGGATGTGCTGCTCCCCCTGGCTGGCCCGTGAGCGCCAAGACCACAGTCTGGCAAGGCAGATTTTCTGTTTGCTTTAGGCGCTGGGTGCCGTACAAACGGAAGTGGAACAGCTTGTGTCCAGAGACAGGGTATATGAAGACTCTGAGGCTGCTCACCACCCTTCTGGTTTCTCTGCAGCATTTTGGTGATTAAGAACTGGCCGTGAATTAAGGGACCAGTGTTTCCACCACGCGACTGTGTCTCTATGGCAGCGCCACAATGCAGTCTAACTGTAAGGGCAGCTGTGCTCCTACCCGAAGATAGCAGCGAAACGTAGCGAAACGCATTGGGCGCTGAACTAAAGGGCTGCCAAGCGGGTGACCCCAGTGTCAGAATGTTTCCTCTCGCCCAGTACCTACTCACCGCTGGAGAAGAGAATGAAACAAAAGGAATGCAGTGTTTTTACCTCCCGTGCAGCCCAGCAAGCAAAAGGGGGAGGCAGCAGAAGTCTACTTTGTTTCTCTTGACGGTGTACAGGAGGAGTAAATGGGCGTTATCACAGTGTTGGCCACTGCTTCCTTTTGGTTTTCAGACAGGGTCTCTCTTTATATCCCTGGGTGTCCTGGAACCCACTGTGTAGCCCAGGCTCTCCTCAGACTCAGAGCTGGACCTGTCTCTGCTTCTGGAGGGCTGGGGTTAGAGGTGTGCAAGCTTGACCGTCACTTCTTAAACTCAGGAGTCACCAAAAAAAAAAAAAAGTGACAGTGAAACGTCTCCAAATGCACAATGACTAAAACTTGATTCAAATCAATGTGCGGTGCATCAGATGTGTTTCTGCAGGACTTCACTGCAGCCTCTGCTGAGCGCGCAGCTCCAGCGAGGCACTGAGCACGGCATCACACCACACGCCGCCGGAGCAGACTGCCTCAAACACCTGGCCGGGTTCCTGACCACTGCAAGAATTAGTGGTTTTTACTGTATGCAGTCTTCTGCTCCTGGACAAACGTCATGATTGAATTGTGGGGGCCGGGGGGAAGACTCAGTATTTCCCCACCATCGTTCCTGCGCGTCTAAGTTATCTAAGCAAGATTTAAATTGTGTTAGAACATTTGTTTTTAAAAATTGCTGTTTGTGGCCACGAGTGGTGGTGTACGCTTTTAATCTGAGCACCTGGAAGGCAGAGGCAGGGGGATATCTGTGAGTTCAGGGACAGCCTGATCTACTGAGTAAGGCCCTGTTTTAAACTGGGCAAAGGAAAGGAGAGAGAGAGAGGAGGGAGGGGGAGAGAGAAGGAAAGGAGTGGGGAGGGAGAGAGAGGGGGAGGAAGGAGAAGAGAGGGAGGGAGGGGGAGAGGGAAGGAAAGGAGTGGGAAGGGGGAGGGGGAGGGAGAGAGAGAGGGGGAGGAAGGAGAAGAGAGGGAGGGAGGAGGAGAGAAGGGAGACAGAAGAGGGAAGAGGGAGAAGGAGGGGGAGGGAAGAGAGCATGAGAATAGATAAGAAAGGGAGAAAGAAAAGAAAAAATGCTGTTTGAGTTACTGACTTGAGTTACTTAAAAAGATAACAATAATTTTTGGCTTGGGATTAGGACAGAATTTCCAGCAATTTCTGTCATGGTTCTGAACCTCCTTCTGTCATTTGGTACTATCTGTGTGATGTGATCTTCTCAGTGCTGGCCATTATAAAATCCAAGCATCAATCAACTCTGAAACGTGTCCGCATCCTACAGTACAGACTTTCGGCCGAGACTTATTTATATGTATATCAAAGAATTGTTGTCCAACATAGTTTGTGATTTATTACCACTAGTGTTTCATTTGTATATTTATTTTACATACCCATGTACCCAGTGAAATTTCTTGGGTAGAAAGTGGTCCTAAAAGTAGAAAAAGCTTAAGAAGCTATGCTGAGCCAGACAGTGGTGGCCCACGCCTTTAATCCCAGCACTTGGGTGGCAGAGGCAGGCAGATCTCTGAGCTCGAGGCCAGACTGGTCTACAGAATGAGTTCCAGGACAGCCAGAGCTTCAGTGAAACCCTGTCTTGGGAAAAACAAAACAAAACAAAAAGAAGTACGCTGATGACAATCTTCGATTCAACTGCTGATGGGATTGGTAGTTAGCAGTTTCATAGTCTGCTGGGTTTGTTGTTGTCTTTTGTAATGAAACGTGACTTGTTTTGGACCATGGCCCTGGAGTCCAAAGTTAAGGGGCTGCTGAATGAATCCGATGAGTTTTGTGCAAATGTGGGAGTGTGTTGTGAAAACTCTGATTTCTCAGTGTTTAATGGCATAAAACTGAGACAAGAAACCTGGGTTTAGTGTCATTGCAGGGAGCTCTTCATGTGACTTAAGCTTTCAGCTTATTTGGGACCCAGAAACGATTATATTCCTCACTTTATCCTGATCAGGAGTACTGGGACGGGTGAACGTTACGAAAAGCCCCAACTTCCTGAGGGAAAAGCAAGAGTTACAACTTGAAACGAACGTGCTGGCGGGCTGTGTTAGTAGTCTGTTAATACTTTTATATATTGCATTTTACATACATTTTAAATGTTTATATATTTGGGTAAATGTTGGTCGTAAGTTGATATAAGATATATAGTGAGTATAAGATCCGTGAGAAAGAGGTTGCTCACTGAGACTTTGGGGGACTCTTGTTTTATCTCTCTAGCAGCTGCTTCCCACGCCTCCTTCCAAACAGAAAAGGTTTGTGTCCGGTTATTGCCGGTCCTGAGCTATCTGCTCATCCCATCACTCTGGGGATGCAGATTAGCGTCTCAGCTGGACACCATTACTGTGTGCTCTTTCTTTCCCAGCGTTCAATTCCGGAACCTCTTCAGTTCTGTCGGTTCGGAGGCGACCCAGTCACTGAAAGAACTGTTTGCTGCTCTCCGGCTTTTTTACACACGGGTGTTGGAGACCCAACCAGGTGCTCCTGGCTTGCACAGGGTCCTGGCTTCCTGGGAGGAATGTGGCTCTTTGCTGTTTTATCAACTAGACGCAAGCTACAGTTAACTGAGAGGAAGGGACCTCAACAGAGACAGCGCGTCCCTAAGGCTGGCCCTGCGGGAGGTCCCAGCCCATGGTGGGTGGCGCCACTTCTGGGGCTGGAGAGACGCTCGGCCATTAAAGGCTAGGCTCACAGCCAGAAATACGGGAAAGCAGGCTGAGCGCAAGCCACGAGGAGCAGGCCAGCAAGCAGCACCCCTCCATGGCCTCTGCATCAGCCTCGGCCTCAGATCATGAATCGTAAGCCAAGCAAACCTCTCCAGGCTGGTTTTGCCCATAATGTCTTATCACAGCAGTGGAAACCTTAAGACAAGTGATAAGCACCTTACCAACTGACTTATCTCCCCTGCCCATAAAGCATGCTGACTTTAAGATGTCAGATCTGTACAATTCCAGGATGACAGAAATGGCAAGGCTATATATATATCCTCGCACCATATAACGCTGTAAAGTATTGGTGGCAAGATGATCCTATAGGTCAAAGCACTTGCCATACAAGCTTGATTCCCCGAGTTTAATTCCCAGAACCCACTGTGGGAGGAGAAAACGGACTCCCCAGAACTGTCCTGACCTGCACACTGGGCACTATGGGGCACCCCTGACGCCACAGAGTATAAAGCCTAGCACAGTGTGTGTGACCCGTGTTCCTAAATATATCCTAGAATAATGAAACTAGGAACGTGATATTCTCTCCTGCACCACTGGTAGGAGGATCACCATATTTATCTTTTTGTTTTGTTTTGTTTTGGTTTGGTTTGGTTTGGTTTTCGAGACAGGGTTTCTCTGTGGCTTTGGAGGCTGTCCTGGAACTCACTTTGTAGTCCAGGCTGGCCTCGAACTCACAGAGATCTGCCTGCCTCTGCTTCCCAAGTGCTGGGATTAAAGGCGTGCGCCACCACCGCCCGGCTCACCATATTTATCTTAAAGCTGAGACTTTAATCTCAGCACGGGTGTACAGAAACTGCAAACTCCAGCAAAGGCTTTGGATCCTTTTAAAATTCAGTTTGCCAAGATAAAACTTCTGAGCTGCTTACCTGACGATGCAGAATAGATTGATGTTAGCGTTGTACAAGGAAAAATCAATAAAAACAACTCTGGTCCCTCTGGTGATCCAGCTGTTGAGTCGAAGGTCAGCGAGTTTGGTTTTGGCCTTAGATTTTGACTTTGATAATGTGAATATATACCCTCCATCTCGGTACACACCAACAAATCCCCAGTGCCAGGGAGCGTTGGCAGGAGGCGATGAGTATTTCCACCTGTTAGACATCCAAAGAGCATGGGCAGTGAGAAACCCAGTAAGAAAGCATTTGAGAACTTAAACTGAGCTTTGAATTACAAGAAGTAGCCTCAAAGCAGCTGAGATAGAAGGTTCAAAGTAGCCTTGACAAGGACCCATCGTGTTTTAGAGCTTATTATAGCAACAGACACATCTAACAGTTACACCCAAGTTTTGTGATGCATTTGTGGTGCATGTGTGCCTGCATTCTCTCTCTGTCTCTCTCTGTCTCTCTCTCTTTCTCTCTGTCTCTCTCTCTCTGTCTCTGTCTGTCTGTCTCTCTCTGTCTCTGTCTCTCTCTCACACACACACTTAATTTTTTGGGGTGAGTTGGGGGTCAGGGGTCAGGGGTTTGTTTTCTGAGACGGACAGGGTTTCTCTGTGCAATCCTGGATGTCCTGGGAGCTCATTCTGTAGACCAGGCTGGCTTTGAACTCACGGGAGACCCACCTGCCTCTGCCTCCTGAGTGCTGGGATTAAAGGTGTGCACCACCGTCTAGCTTTTTTTTTTCAAAAAATATTTATAATGAACCCTTCTGCCTATTAACTTACAATTACGAGAAAATCAAAAGAAGACCACCCTGGTTCCCTGTTTTCAGTCTCCCTATTCAGTTCCCCCAACATATCTGAGAGGTGTGCTATTATATTTGTGAGTTTATTTGCATTTATAAAAATTATATATGCCTTCATGAATGACCCAAATATATATCTCCTATCTCTGGATAAGATAAAATAAACCCCCAAACTCATATAAACAGTAAGTTAACACACGTAGAGCAACTCACCCTGAGATTGGAGGAGGCTGTGTAAGAGAGACAACACAATGAAACTTTGTGATGAAAATACGGACAAACGGTTAAACACAATCAGGAGTAACCAAGGCTGAGAGACAAAGGGGAAAGTAGCAGGGGCAGGAGGTGGCGGGGAAGAGAGTTATGGTGACAGAGGACCACCTGCCACATGGAAATACACACGGTTGTTAAATGACAGCACCGGGGGGGGGAATAGATCTTTATAAACATCTGAATAACTGTAATAAATGCTGATACAAAAAGGGTTGGCCCTATCCTCCAGCCACGACCTTCACAGGATGCCTGACACGGAGAGTGTAAACAGTGCTTTGTCTAGAGGAGGTGGGGCCAGTGGCTTGGCTGTCACATTTCAGTATAGTATAGTATAGTATAGTATAGTATAGTGTAGTGTAGTGTAGTGTAGTGTAGTGTAGTGTAGTATAGTGGTATAGTATAGTACAATATAGTATAGTATCGTGGTATAGTATAGTATTGTGGTATAGCATAGTATAGTATAGTATAGTATAGTGTATAGTATAGTATAGTGTATAGTATAGTATAGTGTATAGTATAGTATAGCATAGTATAGTGTAGTGTAGTGTAGTATAGTGGTATAGTATAGTACAGTATAGTATAGTATCGTGGTATAGTATAGTATAGTGGTATAGTGTATAGTATAGTATAGTATATAGTATAGTGTAGTGTAGTGTAGTGTAGTATAGTGGTATAGTATAGTACAGTATAATATAGTATCGTGGTATAGTATAGTATAGTATAGTAGTATAGCATAGTATAGTATAGTGGTATAGCATAGTATAGTATAGTATGGTATAGTGGTATAGTATAGTATAGTATAGTATAGTATAGTATAGTATAGTATAGTGGTATAGTATAGTATGGTATAGTATAGTGGTATAGTATAGTATAGTATAGTATAGTATAGTATAGTGGTATAGTACAGTATAGTATAGTATAGTGTAGTATAGTATAGTATAGTGGTATGGTATAGTATAGTATAATATAGTGGTATAGCATAGTATAGTATAGTATAGTGTAGTATAGTATAGTATAGTATAGTAGAGTGGTATAGCATAGTATAGTATAGTATAGTGGTATAGTATAGTATAGTATAGTGGTTGCATAGTATAGTATAGTGTATAGTATAGTATAGTGGTATAGCATAGTACAGTATAGTATAGTGGTATAGTATAGTATAGTGTATAGTATAGTATAGTGTATAGTATAGTATAGTGTATAGTATAGTATAGTGTATAGTATAGTATAGTATAGTATAGTGTAGTGTAGTATAGTATAGTGGTATAGTATAGTATGGTACAGTATAGTGGTATAGTATAGTATAGTATAGTATAGTGGTATAGTACAGTATAGTATAGTATAGTGTAGTATAGTATAGTGGTATGGTATAGTATAGTATAGTATAGTGGTATAGTATAGTGTATAGTATAGTATAGTGTATAGTATAGTATAGTAGAGTGGTATAGCATAGTATAGTATAGTATAGTATAGTGGTTGCATAGTATAGTATAGTGTATAGTATAGTATAGTGGTATAGCATAGTACAGTATAGTATAGTGGTATAGTATAGTATAGTGTAGTATAGTATAGTGGTATAGTATAGTATAGTGTATAGTATAGTATATAGTATAATATAGTATAGTGTAGTGTAGTGTAGTATATTGGTATAGTATAGTACAGTATAGTATAGTATCGTGGTATAGCATAGTATAGTATAGTATAGTGGTATAGTATAGTATAGTGGTATAGTATAGTGGTATAGTATAGTATAGTATAGTGGTATAGTACAGTATAGTACAGTATAGTGTAGTATAGTATAGTGGTATAGTATAGTATAGTGGTATGGTATAGTATAGTGGTATGGTATAGTATAGTATAGTGGTATAGTATAGTATAGTGGTATAGTATAGTATAGAATAGTGGTATAGTATAGTATAGTATAATGTATAGTATAGTATAGTATAGTATAGTAGTATAGTATAGTATAGTGGTATAGTATAGTGTATAGTATAGTGGTATAGTATAGTATAGTGGTATAGCATAGTATAGTGGTATAGTATAGTATAGTATAGTGGTATAGTATAGTGTATAGTATAGTATAGTGGTATAGTATAGTATAGTGGTATAGCATAGTATAGTGGTATAGTATAGTATAGTATAGTGGTATAGCATAGTATAGTGGTATAGTATAGTATAGTATAGTATAGTGGTATAGCATAGTATAGTATAGTATAGTATAGTGGTATAGCATAGTATAGTATAGTGGTATAGTATAGTATAGTATAGTGGTAGGTCTTCATGTCCTAGGTCTATGTGCCCCCCCATAAACACCACGAGTTTCTTCTTTAAGCCCCCATCAAACTTCTGTAAGCCGTTTGGGTATCTTAGCACAGCAATAGAAAAGTACCTAAGACTCTTCGTCAGGCCTCATCAGTCACAACGACTAGGAGCATAACTGCCCCTATCAGTACCGGAGCCACAGACATCACTTAAGAGGAGGGAGGAGGGCGGCAGGGAATAACTCAGCACCTGCACAGAGGCCAGCTGTCGGGGCATGAATCTGTGACCCTGGAGCTCAGCGGGTGGACACCACTGGTTCCCTGGAGCTCACTGGCTGATCAGTCTAACACAATCAATGAACTCCAGTCTCAGTGAGAGACCCTGCCTCAAGAATGAGAGCTGAAGAGTGATTTACAAAGACACCTTTAAAAGAAAAAACGTTTTTAAAAAAGATCTATTTGCTATGCATGCGTGTACGTCTGCACGGCAGAAGAGGGCACTAGATCTCATCACAGATTGTAATGGTTGTGAGCCGTGGTGTGGTGGCTGGGAACTGAACTCAGGACCTCTGCCGTGCTCTTAACCGCTGAGCCGTCTGAGCCGTCTCTCAAGCCCTAGAAGGACCCCTCCTGTTAATATCTGGCCTCCACATGCACACACACACGCACACGCACATGCACACACACAGACTGATGTCTTACCCTGCATCCTGTATGACCATACATTTCACATGCCGCACCGACCCCCTTCCCCCGTCAAACAGGGTCACTCTCATGTTCTAAGCTCACGCGACAGTGCTGCTATTGCCAAGACTTCTCCCCCACGCAGTTTGCGGAGAGAACCACGGCAACCGGCAGCTCCCGGCTCCCACTACTCAGACAACGGATAATTCTGTAAAGACACAAACAAAGGCACCCGCTGGAAAGGACCACGGGTGTCATGACACTTACTCCTTACTTTTTTTGAGGCCGAAATCAGACAGGTCTTCGTTTTCAGTCGTGTATTTGCCATAACAGTCGTGGATCAGCGGCTGGAAGGCGGAGTAGATCCTGCAGGTGTTGTTGCGGACCCGCAGCTGCCGCACCCTGGGGACCCCGAGAAGGATGTTCTCGTAGTAGATGCGGCTGCTGTTCCTCACGCTGTACAGCTGCTGGTTGTTGTACCACGAGTCCCAGTACAGGCCTTCCAGGAGGGGCCCTTCCATGAACTTCACAGAGAAAGGCAAGCGCCCGTGGGAAGAAAAGGACACGTTCACGGCAACCGTCTGCAGCCGGCGCATGTGATTCCCAGTGTGAGCACTGGCTGACACACCCCGCTGCTGGCAAAGGCCACTCCCCACCGCGTCCCTGTTCCTTTCTAAGTGACCCCCAGATCCAGGGCGGCTTTCCCTGCTTCTCGCGGCCTTTGCCACGGGCCACATGGACAATTTAAAAGAGAAAAGGTGTGGGGCTGGAGACCTGGCTCAGAGGTTAAGAGCACTGACTGCTCTTCCAGAGGTCTTGAGTTCAATTCCCAGCAACCACATGGTGGCTCACAACCATCTACAATTCAATCTGGTGTATATGTAATAAATAAATAAATCTTAAAAAAAAAAGAGAAAAGGTGTGCCCACTTACCCTGTCCTTCCTGGTCTCTGTGACTAGGGTAAAAACATACCCATTGTGATCTCCTGTAGTGTTTATAGCATCTTTTAAGCAGATCTCTCAGTTTGAAGCCAGCCTGGTCTACAGAGAGAGTTCCAGGATAGCCAGGCTATATGAAGAAATCCTGTCTTGCGTGTCTCCTTCCCTACCAGGCCAGTGACTTAGGACCCCTTGGACCTTGTCTCTCATCTGTCCCCTTTCTTACCAAGTTTGTCGTGTCACCAGGGATGGAATACTGGCCTAAACACTTTAAGGGAGGCAAGATTTGTGTCGGCTAAGTCCCAGGCCACCTTACCAGGAAGGGTGTGGCGGGACAGGGGCAGCTCAGACCGTGGGTCGCAGAGGGAATGCCAGAGCCCGAGCATCGTCCTCCGTTCTCTCCCCTTATCCCATCCCACCACAGTCTGTGGACAGCGCTTCTCCAGTTCACCAGGTAGTTCACCCTCTCAGGAAAACACCATCACAGGCGCGCCTCAGGGTCTGCTCTTCCAATCCGTCTGCTGCTGCGCGCATCCGAGTTAGCCCCCCCATCCTCCCACGCTCGGAAGGCGACAGCGTGAACTCTCTGTCTACCCGTTTTCTGCTCCATCTACCCTGTGCACCCACTGCAAACTCAGCTCCGTGCGAACTGCACACAGCACGCATGCCCTTTTCCCAGAATGCCCCTTTCCTAACAGGCCCTTTAAAATGCATCCACACTGCCAATCACCTCGGGAGGGTCCTCCCGCACTGCCTCATCCCTTACATCCAAGCTGCTCCTCCTCGGCTACTCTTCCTTCTCAATGACTGGTGCTATGTGCAGCGGGAAACCTGCGTGTCTTTGTGCTGAGGGAACACTCTCTCGTGTGATCAAACGCAGAAAGCTGTGTCACACGTTGCTTTTTTAAAAAAAATTATATATACAGCACATTACGGTAGCACACAACAGAGGGTTGCGTATATAATATCGTGACTATTACCCTCTCTGGGAAACTAAGAATTTGTAAGACTGTTGCCGGGCGGTGGTGGCGCACGTCTTTAACCCCAGCACTCGGGAGGCAGAGGCAGGCGGATCTCTGTGAGTTCGAGGCTGGGCTGGACCGATAGTCTCCAAAACAATACAGAGAAACCCTGTCTCGTAAAAACCAAAACCAAAAACAAAAACAAAAACAAAAACAAAGACTGTTGCTCGTGTGGATATTTTACATACACAACCACAGGCTGACTTTAGTACTCCCATGGCAAATCCTTGGGAAATGGGAATATTTGAGAAAGTAATCAAAAACTCAAAGTTATACATAACAGTATCACAACGTGAACGTAAGATTCACAATAAACACCCCTGGTTGATTTTCTAGTAACGAAACAATACTCATTTTCATTATTAATCCCTTTAACAAAAATTCCCTGAGCATTTTCTACGTAAGGCAAGGGTTTACTATAGACTATACGTGAATTTGTCTTTCTTCCTTTCCAGAGCTGTGGCCTGAACCCAGGGCCTTTCACCTACCAGGCAAGCTTTGTACCCTGAGCTAGCCCCTAAGCCCTGGCGTATGGGCTAGCTAATGCCACTTCCTCAGGCCGTACATCCTACCTTCCAGAAGTCAGTGATGGTTCGGATGGACCTGAAACTGCTCCTTTCATCGTCAGGGAGGGCAGTGTCCACAAACAGAGATGACATCACTTTGTTTAAGTAGTACATGTGCGGATTGACCATCCCAAACGTCACTGAGGAGAGAAGTCCTTGTCGGGGCTTGTAATTTAAAATCCCACGCCAGCAGCACTCAGAAACGATTCATTTCCCCAGCTTTACAACAAATCCAACGCTGTCTAAGCATAAATATTTTACATCCATCTATCTTGTGTGCGCACACACGCACGCATGCACACGCATGTGCCGAGATGCAAGCGTGCAGGTCAAAGGACAGTCTGTGGGAGCTGGTTCTCTCTGCTCTCATTATGTGTGTTCCAGGGGTCAAACTCAGGTCACCACGCTTGGCCACCAAGGGCCTTTATCCAATAAGTAAAGCCAGAAATATACAAAGCCGGCGCAAGTTTCCTTCAACCCTCATTCTAAAGGTAGACGTAGGTTCATCAGGCCTGGCGGGTTTATATTTGATATTCTATCTTTTTAAAATGAAGTCAAATCAGGGGCTGGTGAGATGGCTCCACATTTAACAGAGATTTCCATGAACGGCCAACAAGGGGAAGGAAGCAGAAAGAGCAAGAGAACCAAAGTTGTTCTCTGACCACACATATTATGTGCCTCTTCACACACATGCACAGGCATGCGCATGCGCATGCGCACACGCACACGCACACACACACACAATATTTTTTTTAAATGAGGTCGTCACATTATATCCATGACTACTGTCGGCTTTTTTTCTCTACACTAAGAACAGGCGATACCAAATAGTGAATAGTTAAGGCTAAGGGTCTTGAATTCAGCCAGAGAAGGAGAATAGGTCTCAGCCATCTTTTTTTTTTTTTTTTTTTTTTTTTTTTTTTTTGGTTTTTGGTTTTTCGAGACAGGGTTTCTCTGTAGTTTTGGAGCCTGTCCTGGAACTCACTCGGTAGACCAGGCTGGTCTCGAACTCACAGAGATCCGCCTGTCTCTGCCTCCCGAGTGCTGGGATTAAAGGCGTGCGCCACCAACGCCCGGCTCTCAGCCATCTTTTACTACACGGTTATAATTGTGAATATTGGGAGTGTGTGTGTGTGTGTGTGTGTGTGTGTGTGTGTGTGTGCTCGTGCATGTGGAGGCTGGAGCTTGACATCAGGAAGCATTCCCCAGGAGCCATGCACTTTGGTTTTAGTTTTGAAACGGGACCTTTCATTAGCCTGGACCTTTCAAAGTAGGCTAGGCTGGCTGGACAGCATGCCCCAGGACCCCGTTCCTACCTCCCCAGCCCTGGGATTACAATCATTTCCACACCCTTCTCTTCTGCAAGCGCTGTGGGGATCAAACTCCGGCTGTCACACTTGTGTGGCGAGCACTTTACAGACCCAGTTATCTTTCAAGCCCTGCAGGTAGAGCATTTAAACCCATGCTTTGGAACACAGCAAGTCTGTTTAAACACTTTCAATCGGTAGTATTTCTTTCTCCCCTCTTACAAAGCTATTTCACCTTATGTGCCAGGACTCCCCAGTGAAAACAAAAACACGTGGGGGCAATCGGGATGGTTCAAAGGGGACACTTTCCACATTGTCAAGTGTGCCAGCCCAAGGCACTCACGATGAAGGTGGGACCAGCTCCATCAGCTGTCCTCCGACCTCCACAAGCACTGAGCACACGCATGCGTGCACGCACATAACCGAGGGAGTGTGTGTCATTCTTTAACAGCTGCATCTGTTTCGTTGCATATTCCACAGAGGCTAGTGAACCCCCTTACTGTGGGTTTAGGTCGTTTTCTTTATTGTAAGTGTTGGGAAAAATATCTCTGAATGGTGGGATTATAAACAATCTTTTGACTCGTATTTCCTACTTTCTAAATGGTTGGTAATAAGCCTATGTTTGTGTTGTCTTCAAAACTAAGCCTCACAGCCAGTCCAAGGCACCTTATCAAGTTAGCCACAGCTGCCTTTAATCTGGAACACCCACCCCTACAATACCAGTTAACTGTGCAATTGGTACACAGGCTACACATTCAGAGACGGGAGAAATCCTGTATGTTAGCTTCTAGCTGCATACATTGGGCAGTTTAAATACAAAACGTTAACAAGCTTTTCACCATACTAAGGTGATGCCATGGACCCGCGGTGGCGGGGGTTGGGGGGTAGTTCTCCCTGCCCACATTAACAACTGCCGTTTACTCGGCACAAATGCATTCTGTTATTAATTGCACAGCTGTTTAGGGAAGAGGATGAGACTGTGGCCATCCCCAAACTCCATGTTGGGTTGCATTTGTACCAATATACCTCTATGGCTCTGAAAGAAATTCAATTCAACTGTCAACCCAGGGACCCTGTTTAAGTAGATCCTCCAAACTTAAAAAAAGAAAAAAAAAAACATAGTCAGAGCTGACATTTGTGGTCTAGTTTCACCCTTTAAAAGCTTGAAATTCTGTCCATCATAGGATAGTGATCTCTAAAAAAAAATCTGTCAGCTTTCTGAGTTTCTGTTTTTTTCACTTCCACATTTTAACTATCAGTTCAGCCGGCATTTTCACCCACATCTGTGTACTTACATATGCATAGATTTATTAAAAAGATAAAGTAGAGTAACAGCTCCTCAAAGGTGGTGTTAACTTCTGCTTCCCTTCTGTAATGCAGGTCGTGTTTGGAAGTCCCTGTGCGATGCAAAACAAACCTTTCTCTAATATTACTGGGTAACTATAATGTGCATAAGTAACCAACGTGGGGGAAACACAACCACTTTTAGTGGCTTCTGGTTTCCTTTTACTTCTCACAGGGGCCGAGTTCCCTGCTACGGAGCGGGCCGTGGTGCTGTATCGCTGTGTGCGGATGGACTTTCACACCACAAGTGTGTCCCCGACAGTCCTGATAAGACACAAGACAAACGCCTCCTTCTGTCCCTATTGCCTTCTCCGCCCCCACCCCAGCTTCTGGGGAAGGCAGGGTCCAGCTGCGAAGAAGGGGCTCCTGCTGCGGCGGCCACCACCCAGGGAGGTGACAGCCTAGCAGGGGACTTCACTCGGTGACAGCGCTGGAGTGGGGGTTCTGGGGTCAGAGTTCCTTCCTGGGGACCTGGAGTTGCCCACGGGCCCTGGTTTACCCGCCCTCACCTCCTCGGTACCACCAGGACGACTCGGCCATCGCGCACCGGACCACACGGTCCGTTCCACTCCGCCCGCTCGCCCACCAGCCCGCCCGCCCCGGCGCCTGCGCACTAGCACCGCGGCAGGCTAACCCCCAAAGCTATGCCACAAGGCACCATCTCGGTGGTCGCTTCACTCCCTGGGAGGGAGTTGTGGCTGTTCCCTCCTGGCAGAGGCTTATTTATCGCTCATTTTTCTGGATGCAAAAAAAAAAAAAATAGGTATCACTACCTACAGCATTAACTAAAAAATGGTCTTATTGATTTAATAGAAATAACTAAGTTAGCAGTATCACAAAAGCAAACGCTGATGGGCATGGTGGCCCAATTCTGCCCTACAAGCCGTTAGGAGGCAAAGGCCATAGAGACTCAGAGACTCAGAGGTCAGCAATGGCCTGAATGTGGATCCCCAGCCTCAAAACACAAACCCACTGAGCTCCAGCTACAAACCCTTGAGTGTTCCCACAACTCACTTAAGCGCGTCCACGTGTAGATACAAACAAACACAGGTCTGTATCTAGATGGGCAGCTGTGGTTTTGTTCGTCCACGATATGAACCTGGCAGGTTATAAACCAGAAATTTAACAGCGTGGGATGAGACAAGAAAAGCCATCAGGGGCGTGAGGCATGAGCAGGCGAAACTTTAGAAGTTTGTACTGTGCGTCTGCATTATTCATTATGAAAGTGGGGGAATTCAAAGTGCACGTCATGCCTTAGGGGTCCCTAGGGGAACACAACTGACAGGATGAATCTGTACATAAGAAGGGATTTGCTAGAGCGACTTACAGGCTGTGGTCCAGTTAGTCCAACAATGGCTGTCCCCCAGTGGAAAGCCCAAGAGTCCGCGGTTGTTCTGTGGGAGGGAAAGGCTGGTTTGCTCTTCAGCAAACCTCAGAATCCCAAAGACTAGGCTCTAACGCCAGTGAGGTCGGGGAGAGCGAGGGCAAGCAGGCCAACAGTTGCAACTTGTTTCTTTATAGAGGCAGCCTCCAGAGTGGCCCACACACATGTGCTCGCATGCAGGGCACACAACAGTCTTAGGTGCCGTCCTCTGGAACAGCATCCACCTTCTTTGAGACAGATCCTCTCACGGCTGGAGCTCACTAATTAAGCTGGAATGGTTTGGGAACAAACCCCAGGGACTGTCCTGTCTCAGCTGCCCCAGCTCAGGGATTAAGTGTACACCCATGTCTGCTGTTCTTAAATGGGCTCCGGGGAATTAAACTGAGGTCCTGTGTTTTTGCAAAGCAAGCACTTTCCTGGGTGAGCTGTCTCCCCCAGCGTAAGAAACCGATCTCTGATCACATTGTTTGAACCCTGGAATTTAACTGAGGCCTGAACTATATACAAACTTCTGGCGTTTTTTATCTATTTCATTTAATACATTTCCCTTTGCTGTCAGTTTTTGGCATTCTTCTTTTAGTGGTTTAGTCCGATCTTATTGCGCAGTGGAGAGTCAGGGAGGACAGCCAAGGACACACAGAGAAACCCTGTCTTGAAAAAAGAAAAGTGAGAGGGCGTCGTTGCTGTGGCTTGATGTGGTTTGCCTCTGTGGAGTGTGTGTGTTAGAAACGAGGCCCTCCAGATGGTGGGGGGGGATTCTATGGACCCCGTCGGTGGCAGGGCCCAGTGGGAGGTTCTTGGCTAGCTGGGGACACACTCTTAGAAGAGATCAGAGTATTTCTCATAACTTCTTGACATTCTCCCAAGAGTTGTTGCACCACCCCGTTCTGCCACTTCCTGTCTGGTGATGTGGCACTTACTTCCTCCCTCACCCCAACTTAATTTTAATTTTTACATTTATCCACTTTTAATGTGTGCATGCACTATACCTTTTGACATACATGCCACGGTGTTCATGCGGCCTGAGGAGAGCCCATTGGCTCTCTCTCTCTCTCTCTCTCTCTCTCTCTCTCTCTCTCTCTCTCTCTCTCTCTACTATGTGGGTTCTGGTGTTGGAACCCAGGCTGTCAGTGTGGTCTGCAAGCACCCTTACCCACTGGGCTATGTTGCCGGATCCTCCTTTCCAACTTTCGTTACCCACCATGATGTGATAGCATGCCAAACGGCCCCCATCGGATGCTGGTATGATGCTGTACCCTTGCGCTTTCAAGATTATAGCCCAAGTAAATGTCTTTTTTGTTTATGTAGGTGTTTTGCTATATTAACAAAAAAACAAAAGCTGTGTAATTTTTTTTAAAAGTTAGGACATTATTGGCAGGAGCAGAGAGGGCAAGGGTTACATAGCAGAGGCCAACTTCAGATGGAAACCAAAACTTAGACCTTTTTGGGGGGGGGCACTGTACTAGACAAGGGTGATGCTCAAGTCTTGGAGAGCTCGGGAACACTCCGATCGCAATAATAAAGTCAGCCTATCGTAGATAAGATAGGATGGCCGAGGAGATCTGCCTCACAGATCCAAGCAGAAAGAACTCAACGGGCTGCCGGCCATGAGTCAATAAGAAAAACAAGCCAGTGAGATACAGAGATGTCTTAGGAAAACCTAAGATGCAGGGCGTGGCGTCGCCCTACGTCTCTCAGGCTGGAGACTGAGCAGCCAGCTTGACCATCTATCTGCTTGGCAATGCTCCTGTGGGCTGACCTTTGCACTTCCAGGCCACTCAAGCTAGCACCATTCCAACTCAATGCTCTTCAAGCCAACTGGAGATCACAATTTTGCAACTCATGCTAGCACAGCTGTGTAATGGGTCTGTGATAAGAGAGCCCGGATCAACACTCACATGTCAAACTGCAGGCAAGGTGCAAAACGCCCCATCTAGACGGCCCTGAAGAGACTCAGAATTTAGGGGACAGGTACGGAACTGGAAGGGACAGTGTTGGGTGAGGAGGCTGCATTTTCCAAGCCACAGACAGTAATGAAAGACGAGGTTGGAAATGAAGAAACTTCTGGGAACTGGGAGGGAGCTGGCTTGCAGGCAGGGAGCCAGGTGGGCAGGGACAGGATCTGCTTCTGTTGGTTCTAGTTACCTGTGTGGTAGAAGGATCCCTGTTGGCTGAGGTCCAAATGCTTATTTTCATTAATGTTGACAGTGCCCCAATGCTTTTTTTGTTTTCACTTTAAAAGTGCAAATATTCACAAAGACGTGAACACATTAAACGTTATCTCCCAGATAACAGCCTAATCAAAACTTCTTAAAGCAGAATCGAATGCCCCCTAGTGCACTACTTAAAAGAGCCTCATTGTTTTTGGAAGTGAATGGCTTTCTAGAAGTTAATTTTCCTAGTTTTGCATACGAAAAGTTAATACAAATCAATGAAAGACTTACTCAGGATAAATAATGCAGGCAAAACATATGCGCGGTCCAAGCCCAGACTATTGCAGTGCAAAAGGAGACAGCTATAACTTCAAACATTTGCTAGCAAATCCCATAGTAGCCGTGACAGTAGGGTTACATAAGCCACGAGGTTACGGCTTCCAAAATATAAACGAATCTTAAAGTTCTTGTTTAGATCTGAATGTAACTCCTTGGATACACATTTGCTTGGGAAAGAGAGGGATCGATAATGACCCGCGGGCGGCTGCCAGACCTGAAGAGAGCGGCTGTTTTGGCTGTTTCAGTGCCTGCATTGGAATATGTTCACAATATTTTCTTTATTCTTCTTCAGAAGAGGGCTTGCCGTGTGCTTGAGCTCGGAGAACACGGCAGGCACCTGCACTTTAGAGAAAACGTCCCCTCAGCCGGAGCCCTATAATCAGGAAGCAACCCCCACCCCCAAGCTATGCAAAGGCAGATGCGGGCGTTCTCAGATTCCAAGCGTCATGCGCAAAGCGCTGGCTCCACCCCCGTACCGGTTCTGGGCTTGTAACGGATGGCTGGGCTGCTGCTCACTCCCCCTCTCCTGCTTACACCTCCAGGCTCACCTTTGTCCCCCATTCTTCCTTCCTTTTCCCTTTTTAGCCCCAACCCCAAGTTCCCACAAATGTTAACAACTGGGAGGGATAGCCAACATTACGTGTGTTTGGGAAACCATATGGAAACCTACTATTTAATAAACTTCATGTATATATATATATATTATTACATATTGTATATGCTTAGTTGGAGTTTACCCTACACAGGGGTAATTCTCCTCCCACAAGCCATAGGATGCCAAATTAAAAAAAAACCAGCATCAGATGTGTGGGACCTCTCTTCCCACAGTGACCCCCAAACAGCACAGGCTCTGGCCGTTGCTCCTGGCTGCCCACAGGAGTTTGACGATAAGATCCTACTGCTGACACCACACAATTTGATCACCACAGGACATCCAGCCGGTACTGACAGGAAAGCTTCCTCCCTGGCTGGTGTTCTCAGTGCTGGAAGGCTCCACACAGGCTGCTAGGGAGCAGTTACCAACAGTCTCCATCCAGCTGCGAATCCTGCAAGGCACAGTAAGGCAAGATATGCCCGTGGGCACAACGGAGACATGACTGTTCAGCCAGCTGCTTTCTACCAGGAGGAAATGCCTGCATGGTGCCATAAATCGGGCTTCGAACCCTGGATCCAGGGATAAACTTACTACTTCATTTTGCTAAATGGACATAGTACCCAACTGGCCTCTAACCGGGTATCTGGGTTCCTAAGGATGAGTGCAGCACTGAGTCCCCATCGGAGAGGCTTCTTTGCGCAGCTGACGGTGGTTAACGCCGAAACTCACAATTAATTGGTCAAAGCACCGAGAAAGCGTGTCTGCGGGGTGCTCAGCCATAAATGGGACGTGTGTATCACGCCCCTTCCCAAAAGGCTTGGGGAATGTCGCAAAGGAGGGAGTAGAAGGATTGTAAGAGCCAGAGGTGGGGGTGGGGTGGGGTGGGGTGAAACAGTGCCTTCTGGACATGGCAGGATCTATGCACTTGCAAACACTCAGCAACTGTGGTTGCCTGCACAGGACCGATTCAAGATCAAGCCAGTCCTCACCCCGGCTTGGGTGGGGAAGGGGTTCGGTAACTCTTACCCAGAGACGAGGAACACTGGCAGTCGATGGATGCTAGGGCAGGGAAAGTCAATTAACCTTTAGGTTGTTTCTTTGTAGGATGTGTCGTGGATGGCCCCACACTCATGATGAGTACATGCACAGCGCCAATTAAACTCAGTGAGTTATATATAAACCAGCAACACAGGACATGAAGTAGGAAAGGGGGGGAGTGATGATTAACCTGGGAGAAGTTAGGGGGGAGAAGTGTGAATGGATGTGGTCAGAGTACATTATATACATGTATAAAACCCTCAAAGAATTAATATCCTTAATATTAAGATATATTTGAAAATAACAAAGAGAAATGTTAACAACCTAGTGTGAATTCTTGTATACTTTCTCCATGCTCTTTTTTTTTAATATTTTATTTATTTATTGTGTATACAGCCTTCTGCCTGCATGCCAGCAGAGGGCACCAGATCTCACTCAAGGTGCTTGTGAGCCACCATGTGGTTGCCGGGAATTGAACTCGGGACCTCTGGAAGAGCAGTCAGCGCTCTTAACTGCTGGACCATCTCTCCAGCCCCTCCATATTCTTTTTTTTAATGATTTTTATTATTCACTTATTTAGTGTGTGTGTGAGTATTTTCCCTGCATGTATGTATGTGTGCCATATGTGTGCCTGGTACCCATGGGAGTCGGAAGAGGACATTGATCCTCTAGGAACTGAGATTCAGATGGCTGGAAGCCACCATGGGAGTGCTAGGAACCAAACCCAGGTCGTTTGCAAGAGCAGCCAGTGCTCTTACCCACACAGCCCTCTCTGCAGCCCTTTCAAATGCTTCTTTAAAATTAACGTATTTTCAAATTAAAATACAATCACATCATTTCCCCCATTCCTTCTCCTCCCCCAAACCTTTCTACTCCTCCTTGCTCTCTTTCAAATTCACGTCTTTTTAAAATTATTTATGAGACAGGGTTTCTCTGTGTAGTGTTGGCTGTCCTGGAACTCACTCTGTAGACCAGGCTGACCTCGAGCTCACAGAGATCCGCCTGCCTCTGCCTCCCGAGTGCTGGGATTAAAAGTGTGCGCCACCAACGCCCGGCGCCTGGCAGTCTTCTTTTCTTTAATTGTTGTTACGTATACACACATACATACATACCTGGGTATAAATACAGCCTTCTCAGTCCATACATTTCTTGTATGTGTATGATTTCAGGGCTGACCACTGGCATCGCACAACAAGATGGAGGGCTGTTCTTCTCTGGGGAAGACTATTTCTCCTGCTCTCGGCATTCCTAGGCGGCCTGTCGTTCCGTTCCTTGTCTAGGGTTGGAACCCTGTCAGATTTCCCCCTCTCCCATGATGGTTTGTCCACCAGTTTTGAACTTGTTCAGTTCCTGTGTAGACAGACGTGTTGTTTCCCTGACGTTTCTAGAAGACAAAATCTGATAGCTGACTTACCCTTGCTGTGACTTTTGTGATCTTTCTACCTCCTCTTCTATGGTGCTCCCCGAGAGTTAGGCACAAGAACCCTCCTCTCGAGTTGCTGGTCAGGAGAGTCGAGGAGACTCCCAGAACAATAATAGACTACTGCTGTCGCCCTTGGTTGCCTCCTAGAAGCTGAGCATAAGCTCCCAATGCAGAAAACAACTGAGCGCTTTGGACACAGGACTCTGATGAGTCTGACCCAAAATCCCCCCCCCAGGAGTAGCTTGCATAAAACCGGAAGCTGCCGTGCAGCCTGCCAAAGGAGGAAAACATTCAAAGGTCCTTCCTACCCAGCCGTGACGCCTGCAAGTCACTAAGACCATCAGTACTTGCATCAGTGCGCTTTGTCTTGTGGGGTTACCAACGGTAGCACTTATATCTTGTGGGGTTACCAACAGCTGTCTAACTGGACTTAAGGCTCGCTGACCAGCAGGGAATTCACCCCAGGTACTCACTTTCCCAAGTGCGTTCTAAATACTTGGCTTGGGTTTTACTCCCCGTGGGTCTTATCTTTCAAGTGAGTATGTGTGAGGTCCTTGACAGTAGAGCTCTGTCATATACATCCTGAAGAGCCTACAGATGTTGCCTACAGAGATGGCCTGCAGTAAAGCTGCGACGGGGCTGACGTTCCTTCAGCCAGACAAGCTTGGCTTCTGACTCGGATGTAGTTACTCATTACTAAATGAAGGCCGGCTCTAAAACAAACAGGGGGTTTCCAGTCGCCAGATTTCCCGAGGGACATAGATTACTGCCTCTTGATAGTGGCGGTAATTCCAAAGACCAATAGGAGATATCTGTGTGTGCCATTCGGGGCCTGGCAAGCCATTTTCTTAGACTTGTATACACTTGGGCTTAGCAAATGTGCTCCTACCCTACAAGTATGTTTATAGAAAATGGTCACTCCACAAGTGTGCGCATGTGCACACACACACACACACACACACACACACAGTGTATGTAGCTGCCTGGACTGGAACTCTGTGCAGACTAGGCTGGCCTCAAACTCACAGAGGTCTGTCTACCTCTGCTGGGATTAAAGGTATATGCCATCTCACCCATCTTATTAATTTTTCAAAATGTTAGTAGTAGCTTTTTTCCTTTCTGATCAAACATACTATAAATGCTATTGCATATCATTCCTATGCATTTAAAAAATATTTTACCACATGTGTAAGTACCAATAATTGCATATATTACTGCTGTGATTGTTTTAAAAATTGAAATGTTATCTCTTCTCTTTGTCATTACATAATTGCTTCACAATATATTCACAATAGTTGTAAATTATTTCATTTAAGCTATACTCCAGAACATTTACTTTTTTATTTTATTTATTTATTTATTTATTTATTTATTTATTGGTTTTTTGAGACAGGGTTTTTCTGTGGCGTTGGAGTCTGTCCTGGAACTCACTTTGTAGACTAGGCTGGCGTCAAACTCACAGAGATCCGCCTGCCTCTGCCTCCCGAGTGCTGGGATTAAAGGCGTGAGCCACCAACGCCCGGCCCCAGGACATTTATTTTGATACCTAAGATTTAATTGTAGAAAATTCATTTCCTTATTGATGCACGTTGAATAACTTTCAGGTTTCCCAAGGTTCAGAACCTGCTGCAGGGAAGCTTGCCTATATCTACTTATGCAACGGGAGCGTCTCTGTGGTGCGAATCTACAAAGACAATTTCTGGGAAGACGTACCTTCAGCTTTCAATTTGATAATGCCAACCGTCTCCCCCAAAATGGCTGTCGTAACCCAGTGCATGAGGGTTCTCAGTCCCCCCACGCCCCACATTCCTGTTGATCAGTGCTGGTTTTGCCAGCCACGGTAGACAGGCTTCAGCCGACGAGGTAGGGAGGCAGCACTGCCCGCTGTCTGACTCACAGCGATGGACATGCTGATCGGCTCTTCTCTGCTCATTTACATTGTTGCCATCAAGCTTCCTGCTTTATTTATTTGGCCAGCTGGTCTACCAGCCAAAGGAGATCTCCCTCCTCGACTGAGTTTTGTGTTTTCACCCTAGTTGTACCGTTTTTCTCTTGCTGTCTTCAAGCTGCTATTATTACTGTTGCTTTGTTTAATTGCAATACTGAAGACTGAACCAGTGTCTTGTGTGTGCCGGGCTCATGCTCTACCGCTAAGCTACCTTTGTTTTTGTTGAGGCAGGACCTCCATATGTAGCTTTCACTGGCCTCAAATTAAAAAACCCTCCTGCCTCAGCTTCCTGACAGCTGGCATTAAATGTGCCATCACGCTCCAGTCAAAATTGCGATTCCTAATTACTCTCTTTCCCAGTGATTGTTCTTTTTATCATTAATTTAT